GTAAAGGCTGTGGTTTGTACGGAGTTATTTTTTGTTGTGCTAAATAGACCAAAGAAGGTATGACACAATGACTTGTACAAAGCGGTTTGAGAATGTCCCATGCATTGCTCCACCATTGGATAAAGGGAACACCTATAGGAACCCGTATGTTTAACCGGAACAATACAATACTCCCGGTACGCTTTCTCTTCAACCAACCTTGCGAAATTAGGTGAAACATTTGGAAACGTTGATGTCGCTGCTGCATGATTTTGATGATGCTGCCCCTTGGCTGGGCAGAATTTCCACCAGGGCAGTCATTGGGAGCAAGGTCGCGCTTTGTTGAGGACTTATGGCCAAAGTTGCATCAGATGCTGATCACATCATCATTGCATTAAGGCCATCAATTCGTGAATTGAAAAATTGTTGCCCTGGATGTATGTACCAAAGAGGACCAGCCGTGCGAAGGTCCATTGCCAATCTTGACCCATACCCAGCGCGAAAGCAAACCCAACGTCTCGAGGAACAGAAACTTCACGAATCTCATTACGAGTGGTTGCAGCATGACCAGGAGCCACCGGCCGCCACATCTGTGGGAACCACTTGCAAGGAAGCTCTAGGAACAAGAGCCTAGCAGTGAAGGATTACGTGGAACACGACAAGAAGTTCATTAATTATATTATTATTGGTATCAGTTTATCTAATATTATCTAGCTGTAGCACCTTACATGGCAATATAATCATGTAATATATACATATTCTATATACAACAGGTACGGGTGCAAGGGCTCCTCTCTTGGTGACTTTGATGATGTCCCAGGACCCGGACCAAAGGCCCAAAATGATGCTGACTACTGAAGCTCAGCTGTCAGGGGAATTTGTCCTGCCAGGAGACATAGTCACAGGGCAAGTTTTTGACTGTGGTTTCTTAATGTGTCTCCGTATTTTGGGGGTACTTGGGGTAAACATACAGAAAGATGTGGAAAAACACGGTTTTTCACCATGGTTTCCCCAGGAAAATGATCTAGACATGGTGGTGAAACCCACATCCATGTTGGGTTGCAGGCTTGTATTTGCTGAATATTCTACAAGCAGTAGGTATTTGAGAACATTCAAAGAGCAATTCATTGAAACTGATCGTATCCATTCTGATCCAACCAGGCCTGCCGGCACCAGGCCGCAAAGAGCACATAGCTCTATGTTGGAGGTGAAAGATGCAGGATCCTTCACTAATCCCATCGTCCATTCATATTAAACACCCCCTTTGTATGGTCCCAATTACACTGAATTATATTTGTCTTGTTTTTAAGGTGGTTTAATAGTAGTGGGAAGGGATTAGAATCATGATGTCAAACAGTGAGATCATCTTGTCAAACTGTTCAACAGATATGTTTGTTTGGATACTACACTACTATGTTGGGCTTTAGATTGCAACCCCCGAACTGTTGCTAAGTAGGTGAGTCATTAAGTCTAAAGTCAACATCGTTGCGGGTTTTACCCACATGTTTTCTTAGACACCCATTCTTAACCCGTATTTTTCTGACCAGCACGATGACATGTTGGAGATTTTTTGCAGGATCCGACCTGCACCTAACAAAAAGTTATACCCCCGCATGTGCCGGTTAAAATCCCCCATGTCTAGGAGATTCATTGAGACAACCTTGAATGGGTATTTTAGTACGTTAGTCACCAACCAGCTTAGCAAATATGTTTGGCATCAAAGATTGACCATCGAAGTATGGATATCTATGATATCGACGCCATATTGTTGCCATAGTAAAGCCGTGCTTGTTGCCCAAAGATGTTAATCCCTTCAGCCCTTTCGCTGAGGAAGGCGAGCCAGTGGACAGCATCGAACACTTCACGCGGCTCGTGGTGCTTCGGCCAAGGGGCGCATTTCTGTAGGGGTTCCAGCGGCCTCAAAGCACCCTTGGGCCACAAATGGAGGTTTCCTAAAATGGTGCTACCCCAAAATGGATGGTTCATAATGGAAAATTTTATTAAAATTGCTGATTTGGGGGTACCCCTATTTTGGGAAACCCCCAAATGATGGTTAGGAAGGGGAATCAAGTCTCAAAGTGGATTTAAACCTGGCTTTTGCGGATGTGGTATAAATAATCCAGAGTTGAATATGCCAGAGTGAGATAGTCAGCAGAGCACAGCTCTTGCAAAGAACCTGTGGCACCTATTGTGCCAGGAAGGCCGTGAGCGTTTGTTTCTCCATAAGTTTCTGTGAAGAATGTGGGCCCTTAGGGCAAGTCCAGCGGGGTAAAATTTAAGAACCAAGCCTTGGGCCAGGGCTTTCCCAGCTCAAAATCAGCTTGAGGTTTGTGAACCAGTAGAATTTGCCAGGCATCTATAAGATTCTATAAGACTATGTGTATATATACATAATTAATCATAATTATATAATATTTAATCTATATGATTGTATGTAGTGTAAGGTGTTAAGCAGAAAAGCTTGAAGATTTGACTCGCTGGCATGGGGACACATAATTCCTTCAGCTCTAGTTTTGGTAGGGCCTGGGAGGGGATTCAAGTTTGCTACTTTTTGCACTGTAGATCACTGCACTTTCTGTATATACCAAGTGGGTGTGAGCAACATGAACAGATCAAAGATCATTCATATTTCTTATTGGACAGCTTCCTGGTTTCTATCTCCAGATCACGTCACCATTTTGCCACTCTTTGGGACCCTGACTTCGCCAACGGCCTAGTGAAAGTAGAAACCAGCAACATCAGTATAAGCACTTCCCTTACACCAACGGATGGGTGTTTCTGAAAACGGAGTATACGATCTGCCTCAATTTCTGGCAATTTTAACCGGCAAATATTGGAAAAAAGCCATTTGATTTGGGATATGGCCCTGTGTACCCAGAAGATTTCTCGTTGCCACCGCCGTTCTCAGGAACACTTGACGAGGCTGATTGAGTTGGAACGCTCACAAATTCACAGCGCAGATAGCTTTACACAGGCAGCGTGGTGGGTTTGGTGGGTTGGTGGCTGCACGACCTTTTGGGCTCACAAAATGCTCGGAATATGATGCCCTTCATCCCACTGTGTTCCACTTTTTGGTGGAGATGTTGTTTCTTTGTTTTAGCTTGCTTTTTATATCTCTTTGGAGTATTATGATTATTGGACTACGTTGATAATCCAAACTTGTAATAGCAGTCCCGCTGAAGACTTTGCCTTTCAGTTTGTTTTTTTCTCAGTACTCCTCCCGCCCATCATCACAAACATACATTCAAAAGAATGCACTAGAAATGTTGATGGACATTTTTTTGGGGGCCGCATCCTATGTCACATAAGTAACACGGTTTACCGGAGCGCTTCAAAAAGTTTCCATCCCCTCGGCCCCTCACAGTTGAGGACCTGCATTCCATTCCAACCTCATTGGCGTCACCATGTCCATTCTCATAATATCATGTCAGGTTATTCTTCATCATCATGATCACTGTAACTTGTATCATCATGTTCTAGTCAGATCAAGTTAGAAGTGCTTAAAGAATTGGAAACGCATGTAACCCAGCAGCTTATTCTGTACAAAGCTGTTCAGCATATTAACCCAATGCAAGACACATTGGTTTCAACCCTCGTTTTGGTTCATGGGATGCGTGATGTGTATATAGACCACTTGGTTGGTTAAATCTCCGTTTTTGATGATGCTGTTTGCTTGAAATTTAAGCCATGTTTGCTGGTTTCATACGGTTACACCTCCATGCCAAATCAACATGTTTCATGGTTAAATCGCCATGGTTGGCAGAAAAATCCACATAAACATGTTCTGTGGACTGGTGCTTCAGCCTGTTTTTGCCGTTTCTCTGACGATTTTATAGGTCAACAGGTCAACCCACCGGTGACGCCAGGAATCCCTGTCTGGTGCCAGCGGCTTCGTAACCTTCAAAGCTTCTCGGGATGCTGCAACTTGGCATGGTGTGTTCATCGGAAGGCTGGGCCAGGGTCCTGGTTTTCATGTCGGTTCTATGGTAATCCAACATAACAATAGCAATGGGAAATGACCGAACTAAATGAATGTTTTTAATGGGCGAATCGTCCATACATGGAAGGTATTATATGTTATTGTTGCTTCACTATCTCTTGCAATGCCTGTTTTTGATTGGGATTTGTGTTGGGCCAACTCTTGAAGATGGCGAAAAAACTCCTTGTTAAAACCTCGAAAGAGGGGAAGTTCGAACTGAGGAGATGGCCCTGCGATTGCGTTTAGAACCTGAAGGCGGATGCGTTGGCATGTGCTTAGGTCATGGGTATGGGTTGAATGAAACACATTGCCCGGTGACCACAGATTGCCCTGGGTAAGGATTGGTTTGGTTGGCTTCTTGTTTGGTAGCTGCCTGGGTTGACTTATGTTAAGTTAGTTAGTTAGTTTGTTTGTTTTTAGTGGGGCAATCTCACTTGATGTGCTGGGACCTATGTGTTTATAAATTATTTGTCTAGCGAACATACTTCCAAGACAGGAAAAAAAACGCGCGGACGTCACCCACACATGTGTTTTGTTTGCAGGGAATTCATCATCTGACTGGCAAAGACCCCCAAGCACTCAGCATCAAGTATTTCCATCGCTCATCCCAAGAGGAAAGTAGTCTTCAAACCGCCTATTTTGCAGATTTGGGTGGGGTCTATGTTAGTTGGAGGAAGGGAATATCCCAATTAATCCTCATTATATCCCTAGGAAAAAATAAAAACTAATATGATTGGTTTTATACCCCCGTGTTTGTTGCTTACTGTTGCTTAGATCACCATGTATTCTCATTTTCTCCAGCGAAAAAGAAAACATTTCTTGCTGCCCAGCTCCCCAGCATGTGATTTTTTGCTGGGTTAAACGTTCATTTTAAATTATCATCATTTTGGTTGCTTATTCCCCCATTTTCGCTGGTTGAATCAAAAAAATCAAAGATAGGCATTTCCTCAGCTGAAAAGGTCACCTTTTCACCATGCAGTATGCGCCTGCACCTCGAGATGTGGCATATGGGGACCGGGATCGTTGGGCAATCAGATTGAACGCCGGTTGGTTCATGATTGGCTTTGTGGTTTTTTTGGGTTCTAACTAGGGAGCACATGTACATAAGATGTTTTAAGAATAAATGATGAATTTGTCCAATGTCCTTACTGTGATGATCCAACCTGGACCTGTAAGAGGATTTTACAAGAGCATTCAAGTGTGACAATGGCATGGTTTCCTTTTTGACTTCTGCTTTGTTGCAAGTATTACATGGCCGGGTGATTCATAAAGAATGCCGAGTTAGCACCTTCACCCCCGAGATTCATGACGAAACCTGAGCACGGATAAGGCCCCTAAGAAGGATCGACGAGTCACGAGAGTGACTACCTGTCCGGTGGTTTCAAACATGTTTTTTTTCCCCTCCTCCCCTCAACAACCCTATAGATAACTATAGATTATATTTCTTGTCCGGGGGCTCAACCCCCAGAAGTCGGGCTGCTGGCTCCAACGGACCCGGCGCAGGACTTGTTGACGACGCCGGGACAGAGGTGCAGGGCCCACATGGGCCCGGTGTGAAGAGAGCGCCAAGCAGCAACAACAAGAAGGGTCTTTTCATGATGGAACCAAGGAAAATACTGGGGTTGAACATGGTTTCAGCAAGCAAACTTACGAAGCGGGAAACAATCAACGATTGAATTCGACTCAAACTGCAGAGAGCCATTACTGAAATAAGCCTGGTTGCTGTGTTTATTCCATGTTGAAGTGTGCTGCAACCGCAGTTCGCAGTTGCAATTTTCAAGATGGCCACCAAAGTTCTGAAGATAGCACGTGTTACTATCCTAGTTGAATTCAAAAAGAGGTTTTGCGTGACCAAATCACCCACAAGATGTTCCTGGTGAGGAACTCGCCATGTTTTACGAAGTACCACAGTGGTTCAAAAGTACAGGTTAAACTTCCGAACATTGCTAAATGGATGCTTCGGCCTGACTTTGGTCCTGTGGATGACAGGCAGTTATCACATATGGTGGGCTACATGCTGATTCTGGCGGTCCTTTGGGTAGAATCAGCTGGAGGGATTTGAAGAAGCCAAGGTCTAGGACAAAAAATGGTGCTTCAAACATTTCTGGTTAATGCAAACTCTGACCAGGATTCAACATTGGATTGGTGTTTTTTTGGGGGGGGTTGTGGTTGTCGGATGGTATCGGTCGGTGTTCTTTCCAACTACATGACTATGTGTGTAACCTTTCAAGGATGTTGCTTTTAATTCATGTTTTCCACCCAGGTGCAGTGTTGAACTCAGTATTTAAGGGGCTAGGTAAACCATGCTATTTTGAATCTCCTTCCGGAACCCTGTGGTATCCTGTGGTCAAACCTGGATGCACCATGATGGGAGATGACGTTGTCCGGCCGCCCACCGCTGCGTGGTGCACTTCCCAACGGTTGGAAGTGCAGGCACGGCACGGGAAGTTTGTACAGGATCTAGTGATGTTCCATTTTGAGAACTTAGACCACGTGTGCGAAATTGTTCTGGTCTTTTAAAACTAATTATGTTTCAGGTGTTTTCAGCCTCCATGAGATCCATGGTTGTTCAGGTGCCGATGTTACACACAGGTCTGGACAGAACCGACTGAGGTCTTCATTCTCTTCTTCCCTCTGATCGGCTTAACTTCATCCATCATCAATCTGGAAAACCTGGAAGCCGTGGGCTTTATCAAACAGATACTTGACATGGAACCAATATCATGGACCAGAGAATTCATAGTGACTTTTCTGTTTTATGTTGACCCTTTTTTTCTTTGTAAACGTGAGTGTTTGTTCGGCAGGGTGAATGTTTGATGCAGGATGTCAGGTCTCTAAAAATTGGACTCACCAAGCGGGACAACCTTTTTTTTCTGTTGGCCAACACGAGTTGTCCGTCTAAATTACTGGAAATGATGATGGGTTGCGCATGATGTGGGGACAACTTCGCGAGACCAAGAGAATGTGTTTCATGCAAACAGTTAAAATATTGCAAATGCTCATCAGCAGATTGAAGAATTGAAGACACAAATCGGGCGTTAATTTTCCAGCAGCAATAAACACATCTGAGATGACGCAGGCTTTTAGACGCCACAGCGGCCTCTGGGGTTAGGGGTCTGGGCCGGTCAAGGTCAGGCTTTTTGATCCGCAAATGCACGAGCTGTTTGAGTTGTTTACCCACTTGATGTTGTATTCATGCATCCCCACCCCTCAAAAAAAAAAACGTGTGTTTCAACACAGCATTTTCCTGGTTTCCCTCCATGTTTTGTATGCCCCAAAACTATGTTTAATTGGGGTGTATCCCATATTTACCATCCAAATCCATTCAGTTAATGAGGGGTAAACCCAATAAGAACGCACCCCCCAATTATTGTTTATCATTTGGCATATATACCAGTATTTGGGGTAATAAAACAATTACAATCCAAGTTGCGTTGGATGGATGATCATTAATCATTGGGTTTACCACATATAATGATCATCATTGTCTACATATAATCTCATTGATGTAACATTCCAAGATAATGATATACATTCGACAAATAATTCAAACATTGGATTGGATTAATAATTAATACTATATAATTATTGTGGCTCAATTGTCAATCCTCAGAGGATTAGGGACCTCAATGGTCAAGCGCCGCCGCAACCCAGGATTCTGAACGGCTCTGGCTGGCTGCAATCAGTTTTAGAAGGCGGCAGTTGTTTTTTCCCGTCTCTGTTGGAGACAGTGGGGTAGACCCCCACATGGCAATTTCAATAGGAAAAACAAAGCACAAGCCATTGGAATTCATGAATTAGGGGTCCCCCAGATTGAGACAGACCCATGGCCTGCCCAAAGAGTTCAGTATGTTCACTCGTCCTTTTTGTGGGTTTGCTCTTGGATGATTTAGGCTTGGCTCTACATCATCAACCCTCATTTTGAGATGGTGACATACTCAAAAGGACTGTCCGTTTTGTGGTTCCAAATTCTCAAGCCAAACCATGCCAAACCAGTTGGGGCCTAAACTGGGATCCAATATATAATCCGAAAATTCGAAGCTTTGGGTTGAAGGTGTCTTCGCCACTCTGTTGCTCGCCCTCTTCATGGGCATCCTGCCCACAACTCTCAGCCTCCTGGCTCGATCCTAGTTGTTGGTATGGTTGTTCACCAAAAATCATGGGGCACAATGGGGTACAGTATATTCATCAACAATAATGGAGATGTGACCACCAATAAAGAGGCATTTCAGAAGGATTAGGGTATAGGTGGGCGAAGTCCAGCTACCCCACTGGCGGATCAGACCCTAGAGATGATGGCTTATATATAATTATAAATATATATATATATATATAGAAACCGTATAGAGTCCAGCAATCAAAACCAGCCATGGAAATTCACAGTGTAGATCCAGTGGATTCTATACCGATATTTTGTGAACCACGGGTTTCTTAGAGGGTGCCAAAGGCAACTTGTGAACAGGCAAGCAAGCTATGGTGGAAAGTGAGAATGTAGCACCTCAGCATAGCACACATTGTAGCCGCTTACACGCAACTGCAAGTTGGATGCTCGCTTTTTTCAACTCATCAACCCAAATTAGTCCCATTAAGCCCCAACAAATGAACATATTCATGCAACCAATGTTTTGGTTTTCTCAGACGCTTGTGACATGAAAGGGAAGGGATTACTGGATCACTCAATTGCGCAACGCAGTTTCTGTCACCAACCCAGGTGGTCGATAGCAAAAGTTTCCCGGACCCCGTTGTTGATTGATGAGTTTGATGACGAGGCAAATGAACAAATACAGTAAATATCATTAAATACAGTTAAAAACACTTAAATATGCTTCTTGGAGGTTCATGGGGGGTTGGAGCTCTAAATATTGTATTATTCAACAGGCTAGTACGGATCAATAAGAGACATATGAGATACTATCAGCCAATTGGACATAGGACATAGGTCTTTGATAAGCCCAATCACTGATCACCATGTGACTTCAGGCTTCATCATCGACAAGACCTTCACCCTCACCTCTTCAGCTGAAAGTTGCTTGGACTGGACTGTGAAGATAACCGGTGAGCAATGGCAAATCAAAAGCGTTTTCTTTGACTTATTAGGAGTTTGCGCGCTCCTAATCTTATACTGTGGCTGCAAGCTGTGTCAAATCAACCGTAACAGAATCACAAATGGTAGTGGGCGCATGCAACACGTTTATGGGCTCGTTTTCTTCCAGACGGCGTGGTCAATGAAGCCCTTTGCCCAGGTCAGCTCTACCTGCAGGAGTGGTACTACTGGTTCCAGGTGCCGTGCACAGTTCAGGCTTTATAACTGGAAAGCCCAAAGACATCCAACTAGCGCAAATAGCTTAGAAAAATACATTGACACATATGTCCATATTTTTTACATGTACATACTGAGATGTCACACTTTTTAATGCATGTGCGTCATGTATTAATTACTACATGTACATGCACATGTATTATGTGCATGGTCATATTTATATATATATATATATTATATACATATGTGTGTGTGCTATACATCTACCTAATATATTGTAGTAAAATATGTATTATATATATAGGTATGTGTGTGTGAGGTTGCTATGCATCTATAACAATAGATTACTTTACTTCGAGTGATCCCCACCCCGACACTTATTTGTCATAGTTTCTGATATATCATCTGGAAAGATATTTATATATGGTATAATCTTCTGACATTCTATTCTTGCATTTTTTCTGCCATATGTTCTGCCATATGTTCTGGCATACGTTCTGGCATGCTGTTTTGGCATTCTATCTGACATTCTTTTCTGGCATTCTATCTGGCATCTATTCTGACATTATTTTTTGGCATTCTATCTGCTATATCTTCGGAGATTCTTTGTGGTTGAGGCCCGGCAGGGAACACTCTGATCCGGCGCTCGCGGTTGAGGTCCGGCGGGGAACACTCTGATCCGGAACTTGCGGTGGATGTCCGGCGGGGAACACTCTGATCCGGCGCTCGCGGTTGAGGTCCGGCGGGGAACACTCTGATCCGGAGCTTGCGGTGGATGTCCGGCGGGGAACACTCTGATCCGGAGCTTGCGGTGGATGTCCGGCGGAGAACACTGCGATCTAGAGCCTGCAGTTGAGGTCCGGTGGAGGAAGGAGGAGGAAGGAGGCGGGCAGGCTGACGTAAAATCTAACAACCCTCACCTGACAGGTGGGGAAAAAAAATCATTCCGTGCCTGTCTATATCAAGATGCATGTTTCTATGTAGCTCGGCACCCTCTACAGCCTTCAGTGGATCCATCCGCGACATATTTTCTGACAGGAAGTAATTGAAACATATTGAAGGACACATTGTATATACGCCTAGAGTTATATGTATGTAACATGTGTATATATACATCCATGTACGGTACGCATATCCATACCCTCTTTATACATATTTGTTATTGCTTGAAACCACCATATCCTCATATCTGCACTGCCGGGACCCGGATGTTCCCAGGTGATCTTCGTTCTGTTGGTCACAGCCATTGGCACCTCGCTGTGGCAGCGCTTCAACGACGTGCTGGCGTCGCCGAAGGGGGTGCTGTCGCTGGGACAAGGATGGCGCATGGGGCCGACGGCGTGTAGCTGGAAGATCGCGGAGATTTTTAGAGAAAAGTTCCCTTCCATCAATGACTGTGAATGATCTCAACATTTTGTGGTATCAATTATCAATAGCTGATAGTTTCCATTGTAGCTATAACTGTAAATATCCACGATTTGACTAGAATATATAGAGATAGTCCCATCCTCCTAGTATTCAATACCCCCTCAACGGACTCCCCTACATCCACGGTGTTTAATCTTCTTCTGGGGATGGGATTAGTATAGCTATAGTATGTGTTAGAAAGTGGATATCCATTACTAGAGTCATAATGTTATAGCTATATTTTAGCCCAGCATGATAGGGGCACGGCCTGCACTTGTTGTTCCAACAAAGTGAGGGACTTTGACAGGCGTCGACTTCAACAAGAATGATTGTCCTGAACTTCGGTGGTTGATACCCCCCATTTGGTTACCCTTTGATAATTTAACGAAGCTTCAGAAAATTGCCCAATCATATATGTTTTACATGGTTTTATGTACCTATAACAAATAGTGGTTTTCCATAGCTATGTGAAATTGTCAGATATGGAAATCGTGCAAACAATAGTCCTGATTTACATTGATCGTTTGTTTATTATTTTTTCTTATTAATATGTTTTGTTTTTTGTCACAATTATTAAGTTTGATTATCTTTGTTATTGACACTATAATTGATGTTTTAGGTGTCGGCGCTGTTAAGGGGCCGTGTGCTGTCTTCATTTTTTTCTTTTCTGTGTTCTTCTTGTCATTGGGGGGGGTGGGGGGGTTGGGGGGGGATGTTAACGTTCTTTGCGACTGCTAGGTTTCTCTTGCACTTCCACGCATACGTCATGCTACGCTACTGCTAGGTTACTCTTGCACTTCCACACATACGTCATGCTACGCTACTGCTAGGTTTCTCTTGCACTTCCACACATACGTCATGCTACGCTAGTGCTAGGTTTCTCTTGCACTTCCACACATACGTCATGCTACGCTACTGCTAGGTTTCTCTTGCACTTCCACACATACGTCATGCTACGCTACTGCTAGTTTTCTCTTGCACTTCCACACATACGTCATGCTACGCTACTGCTAGGTTTCTCTTGCACTTCCACACATACGTCATGCTACGCTACTGATAGGTTTCTCTTGCACTTCCACACATACGTCATGCTACGCTACTGCTAGGTTTCTCTTGCACTTCCACACATACGTCATGCTACGCTACTGCTAGTTTTCTCTTGCACTTCCACACATACGTCATGCTACGCTACTGCTAGGTTTCTCTTGCACTTCCACACATACGTCATGCTACGCTACTGCTAGGTTTCTCTTGCACTTCCACACATACGTCATGCTACGCTACTGCTAGGTTTCTCTTGCACTTCCACACATACGTCATGCTACGCTACTGCTAGGTTTCTCTTGCACTTCCACACATCGTGGTGAGTTTGTGAAACGTTTGGGTCGCAAACCACGTCCCTGCGCTTCTTCTTTGGCTGGCACACAGAGTTTGGATCGGCGCTGGGACTGGTTAAAGAAGCCACTCCCTCGACAGCTCCACACTCATAAAGATGCCCGCAAAGACTTCCAAAGTCTCTGGCAGTATCTGGTCTGCGGTCTGGAGAAAGCAGGCCCGCCCACAGGTGCTCGAGAAGCTGGGACAGCTCGCAAGGAATGTATAAAAGTTGGCAAAGCTGTGCCTGTGAATCCCTTAAAAGGTCAATATTCATGTCACACAAAGTTTCGGAAACAAGGGTTGTCATTAAAAAATGCCATTTTATGAGGTAAAACCCTCAAAAATCAATATTTTCGGTGAACACTACGTGGTTTTAAGCTCATTGAAAACACCATGATAGGATGAAAATGTTGAAAAACCCTCACGAAATTGAAATTGAACAATTATGATGAAATGTCGATCTTACACCACTGCACGGCCTCTTATCAACGCCGTTACCTTTTACCATGTTTTACTGTTATTTTTGTTGTTTTTTAAATCATAATTACACATACTTTTTGTAAAAACATGTCCATAGCTATGTTGATTTCAGTGTTGGGATTCCAGATGATATTCCTAACCTGGAGGTCAGTTGTGACGGACCCATGGGATTCATGGGGGGTTTCCATATTCATGGGGAATCCCCCCATAGCTGGATGGTTTATAGTGAAAAATTGTATGAAAAGTGATGATTTGGGGGTACCCCTACTTTAGGATACCTGAATTTAGGTCTGGATTTTCAAAGGTTTTTGTGAATGATTCATGACCCCGGACATTTCGGTGGCATTGTGCTAGACGGACGTGTTATTTTCTGCCATTTTGATAGACATTAATATTCAGCACTACTGCATTGTCAGAGTTGTGTACCCTATAATTAAATACATATATATATATATATATATGTAATCATGATGAATCATGATGTTGATGAAGAGTATCAAAATGTTGCTTTTGAATTTTGATGTTGATCAAGATGGTTTTTGTTGTTTCAATAGTCTCTCAGGTTACATGATTTGCCATGGTTTGTTGCACTTGAAGGAGACGCTTGGGATTCTCTCCTCTGGAGTTTTTTGGTCTTAGGTTCGACTTGGCCGGAAACCTGCCGAACACATCGACCTTCTACATGAACTACGTCACTTGACGAGATGTGTTGAAGAAAAGATGAAGCCGGAAATAGTTTCAGCATGCACATAACATAGTTGATATATGAATATGAATCTTGGGGATATGGTAATGAACCAGAAAAAATGTCCATCCCTGTGGATCTGCATGAGTTTTTGAATATTTCACCATGACATCGGCATAGATTATGGTTGGCGAGGGGGCATCAAGAAAAAAAACAATAGGGGATGTTTTTTGCCGGAGACCCATCTCACTTGTTGATTAAAAAAAAAACAGGCTCGAAGAATCTTGAAGAGTCTAACATGACCAGATCGTGCAGGGATTTTTCGACAGCAGAATGCATAAACAAGTTTCCCAATTTCTTGAAAATCTATGCACTTTGGAGTCTCAAATTCGGTGATCATCCCAGCAGGCAACAGATGGTATGACAATGAAAAGTGGACGGATCATAGCGGATTCAGTTTCTTTCCCTCTATGACTGTTTGTCTCTATCGTTTTTATCTCTCTGTCTCTCCATCTCTCTCCATCTCTCTATCTCTCTATCTCCCTCCTTTTTTTGTTCTCTCTCTCTCTCTCTCTCTATCTACTCTATTCTATTCTGTTCTAATCTAACCCAATCCAATCCAATCTATCTCTCTTTGTCTCTGCGTCTCTCCGTCCGTCTCTCCGTCCATCTGTCAGTCTGTCTGTTTATCTCTCTGTTTTTCCATTTGTCTACTTATCACTACTTATCATCTATTTACTTACCATATATTTCTATTTATCAGAATCATATATATATATATATTACTGATTGCGTTTTATACTTATCTATATTTCTTCTTTTGAGCTATCCAAATGGGATGATGCTTTTGCAGCCCCAGTCCCCGGACAAGGGTGCCTGAGGTCATTTTGCAGTGGTCCGTGTCGGTTCTGAGCCATCGCTGAAAGTGGGCCATGGCGGCCACGACCGGTGCCCGGTAGTAAAACATGGCTACAAAATGCCCGATCAATGGGCGATTGAATAGGAAATAATCCATAAGCGAAGGGGATTTTCCATTGCCATGTTTGAGTACCAGAGGGTCTTACAATTAACAATTCCAGATAGAAAAAAATGCCGAACCTGGCAGCAAATCGCGCGTTAAGTAACAGATGAATTTAAAGTCTCAGCTGGTTCTGACAAGACTCAAAGTGATACCACTGTTGATAGGCAAGCCAATGTTAATACTATCAGATGTTGATTCCCTTTACATTCTTTGCCAAACAACCTTCTTTGGGAGTGTGATCCACTATTTCTGAAGTTTTTCGAAGTATATAGGCGACACAACCAACTTTCAGTTTCAGTCATATCCATTTTAGAAACACCTTTCACTCCCAGAATTGGTTTTTGAACAGATTTACAGGAACCCAGCCATATTTCAGGTTTGAAATCCGGGGGTTCTACTAGTTTCCTGGGCACTTTCTGAGGTTTCCATGCGTTTCCCGGGCATGTTTTTTTGGATTTCCATGGGTTTCCCAAACATTTCTGGGGCAAACATTTGGGGGTTCCTGTGCCACCCGGTTTCCAAGGAACGTCTTGCGATATCAAAACTTGGTGAAGTTTATGGCCTGGAACACTATTTGTCACTTGGGGGGGTATGAAATCTGAACATGCCTGGGGAAAACTTGTGGTTTACTGTACATTTAGAATCTAATTACAGTATAGATCAATATAGTATCCTTAGCATCTGAATCTATATGTTGATGGATAGATGTACATGTTTCATGTTAGTGTAGTGGACGGTTTGAATCTGAATCTATATTTTGATCAGTTATTCTGGCTTCGTTGACATCAAAATCATCAAAGCTCCCATGCGCTGGCCAGTGACCAACAAATTTCAAATGCCCAAACCATAAATGATGGTCGGCACAAGCCTGGCCAGATTTGACAATAGAGTCATTGGTTGTGCTAGTTGCCCAAGGAACCATGGCCACAGCACCAAACAAAGTCTCTTTATTGGGTTCTCCATAAAAAAAAGTCGTGTTCTAAGCATAGCCACCAAGCAGTTACTAACTGGGCTGGCTCTCCAAGCACTTGCTGTACCAACGCCGGGTCAAATCAAAGCTGCAAGCATGGTACCCCTTTGAGTCTTTGAGTCCACACTGAAGTGATGCATGCGGCTGAGAAAAAAACATTAAAGAGGGATGCCTTTGCCTTTACGGGTGCTGAATAGTCATGTTCAACCTCATTGGTGATCAATTGTATGATCAGGGGCGGGGCCATAGCGGTTTTGAAGTTTTGACTCAGCGGTCCGGATGTGTTTCTCCAAGCGCATTGCTTTCACTCTTTGGCCAAAGGTGATGAAACCCGTGCCAAGCAGAAGTCAGAACCGGAAGATCCTGATTACTATGGTGCCTTGGACACTCCCAGAGTGGTGCTGTCTACCGTCCTCGGCAAGATTTTGTGGATGCCGCGCTACTGAAGGGATGGTGATTAGCGGACTGTCTCGCATACCGTAGACCTGCTACTTCACCATAAGTTTGTCTTTTGGCGTGGTGATCGCGGTGTTTTTTTTAATTTCCTTTTTTTGATAGATCCCATTGGCACAAGGTCTTTTGGAGGCGGCATGCTCCGGGCCCAGGTGTGGGTTCCAGAAGTGCTCGACTGAGCTTGGTGCTTGCCATTGGTCTGGTCTTCAGTCTTTTGTCGCCTTTGGCCCCTTGGACCAAGCTGCTGCGAGGCTGGGGTCCCAACGGAATGTTGTGCCTCCATGGATCTCCACGGGGTGACCCATGGCGACCCCCAAACTGGGAGATTGGGACTTCCCAAGAATGACTTCGTTGCGTGTAGCACAGCCCTTCAAAGGGATCCAGCACAGCTGTGCCTTGATGACGTATATGACGTGCTTGTATTCCATAGAGATTTGAGATATGCGATACATCTCCACACAACAGTCATATATCATATATGATGATGATGATGATGATGATGGTGATGATGGTGATGATGATGATGGTGATGATGATGATGATCATGAACAAATAAATGTATATAATGAATAAATAAATGTATATATTGAATCAATAAATACATACATATATATAAGATGCATAATACGGATGTATATAAATATGAATAGGCTTACACAAAGGCCATATGTGAAACACTAATTTACATTATGCATCTACTAGCCAACTTCGGACGGGTATATTTCCCCATTTTCACGGCACCAATGACATGGGGGTTGGCATTCGCCGGGGCTCGCCGGCAAGCAAGCGCAAACGCGCCTCGTTGGTGGAAGTTACTAGGTCTTGGCCATCATGTGTCAATCAAATGACCAATATCCAACGACTATCACCTGTATATATATATATATATATGTGTGTGTGTCATATCAATTAGTTAGCTGATATCAATGTCAAGAAACCACAAAAATAGTTCATCATATGACGAATGACTTGTTATTTCAATGGTGAGAAATAATATCAATCAATAACAAAAGAAGTTCATCATGCCAGAATTGGTCATTGCAGAATGGAACAATTACTATAGAACTATAATTGCTCAGAGGTACCAAAGCTTATTTTCCCATCTTCATCGGGCGCCTGAGTTGGTCAAATTCCCGAGGTCCTCGTGATGGTCTTCGTGTTCTTTCTCGTCAATCGCGCCGTTTTCAGCTTCTTGGGGCTGAACGTGGGACAGGGGCGCCCTGAGCGGCAGGTACCCTCTGGTAATGACTAACATAGCTATTGAAAATGGCCATAGGAATAATTGATGTACCCGTATCCATTCAAAATGATGATTTTCCATAGTTATGTTAGTTTACCAGAGGGTAATGAATGAGTCATGATGAGCATGTTTCTTCAATCTGAGGATGAAGATAGGAGGTGGGCAACCATATCACTGCTCGATCCAACCAAACTTGGGCTGAGACTCGTTGATAGAATCAAGATCGCTCAATCAAGTGTCCACCATAAAATTGTCATACATCATCAGAGAACCAACGCAGCCAACAAAACATAAACCTTAAATTTCTTGGCGATGGGGCCTCGTGGGCAAACCTTCGGCTCCGGCTGTGTGGCCCAAATGACATGTGGATAATTGGATAGTTAGATCATCATAGATCTATCAGATCCCTGGCTGCCGCAAAGGGGGAATTTGCCTGAAACAAACCTGGCACTGGAAAATCTTTTTGTTATTGAAGCATCTAGCGCAACAGAAATCATAATCAGATTCAATAGATTTCCAACCAAGTTAGATTACCAAATGCAAACAAGGAAATCCCAACTTGATAATAAAACATTGATAAACTTTGATTGGGAGGTTAATGTTTCGTTAGTGGCGTATCTCCCGGATTATTTGGCTGATACTTGAACGTGTGTTGATTAATATCCCCACTCCCAGGTCTGGTTTGCTGAATGAATATCCCAAGTTTTCATATGTTTTTTCCCATCTGGGTATGGCTTAACAAACCCTTCCTATTTAGGGTGCCAAAAAGCATCGGCTGCAGCAGGCGCTGCTTTTCGCTGCAACAATCCATTGCTTTGGATCCCGGTCTAAAATCAGTGATATACATTATTGTTTTATCAATGTATATATATATATATTTATAGTATTTATATAATTATATATATATATACATCCCACTATGCCACATTTACATCATGAGTATCCCGGTATCCCCCTTTTGTTTTTCCCATCCTCAACGCCTCACATCGCCAGGCTATTTGCTGGTCTTCGCCGAGGAGCTGAAGCCTGACCTGGGCGGCAAATTCTGGGCCTTGCAGCCGCTCGGTAGTCACCCTCCCCAAATGGTAGGCCTGGTAGGCCATCAATTATCCATGAACCATCCACTGTTGGTTTTAAGGCTTTCTCTGAAAATGGATCCCCCCAAGGTATTATAAGGTTTAAATAACATTTGTCCCATTTCAATTGCGATTTCGGGGTATGTTCCACATTCAGACGCACCTATATGTTCAACAATATTTTGGTTGACGATTCCCGAGGCCCAGGAATAATATTTTTCAGGGAGGTGAAACCACCAACGGGCCGAAAGGCGATGCTTGGGGTGATGGTCCCCAATTGTGTTTGTTTAACCCGGATGGATGATGCAACATGGTGATGTCAATGACGATGATGATGATGATGACGATGATGATGTCGGAAATGTTGACAACTAGTCTTGGAGCCTGGGGCTATGTCCACTCAATTTTCAGTGGGTTTGTTGAAGTGTGTGGACCCAATCTGACCCCACGGATCTATACACATGGAAATGCACACCCAGATCCAGATGAAAGCAACATGCTTTAGATTTCATGTGTTTGTCCTTACTGCCCCGTCGTTGCTGAATGATCTTTTTCGCTGTGCGTTCATTGCCCAGGTTACGTCATGTGCACCTGGTATTGCCCATCTTCGAACCTTGTCTGTGAGGAAGTCACCGTTAAGTTTTTGAACATGTAGAACATGCGGATTTTCAACCCATAGAGGTTGTTTCATGATATGGATATGCTTTGATCGTATCAAAACCAGTTTCTTTGCAACCCCTGAGTGGTTAAACGGTAGGTCATTTTTAACTATTGGCAATGTTTCATAGAACTGATTGCTTGTGGGGGTGGCGCCTATCCCTTTCGCAATTTGACATGTGACCTCTGTGTCCAGCTGTCCAGCAACGTTGGTGAAAATGAAACGGAAACTCACAGGAAACTAGGTTTTGGTTTTCAAAAATAGATATGTAGAGAAAATGCTCTGTTCCTGCAGGTTCCTGCGAAGTTTTCCTCAAATAAATTCTCAGAGCCAAACTGGACGTCAAGAACTGCCGAGGGAAGACTTGTAATCAATGCACTTGAATCAATGCCAGATTTGTGATGTTTGACTTGAAACTTCTGGGCCTTCCACTACTAGTCCACTACCGCCAAAGACTCCAATGCCTGATCTGGTTCGACTGGCTCGAGGTCTTGGTCATGAGCGGATGCATTTGGATGGAACCTTATGGTGGTCCAGGGATGCTGGCGTTATTGAGTTTGGGAATCTGGGCATATGATCCTTGGTGGTTTAAAGGGGGCCCTGGATGATTGAAAGTTGGATGAAATGGAACGGCAGCCACTAATGTCAACCAATGTTGGCTGAAATAGGCTTCGCATTGCTGATTATCGTCCTTACTTTTTCCGTGAGACACCAGAAGTAGAGCTATATTCTAAAGTTCCTTGTATTTTGGTGTTTATGTGCAGTAATCGTATGTAGTTATGTGCAATTTGTCAATCATTTGAAGGGTATCCCCATATTCCTTTTTTGCCTGTGCTGTTCAGCATCTCATTGTCCGAGCGGCGTGCCGCAAGGAATATTCGCGTTGGTCTGACATTTTATGGGAAACCCTGCCATTCAGAGCCGTTGTGGAAGGCCAGGCAGGGGTCAGCTGTGAAGCAGGCTTGCCGGAGACAAGTAGCAAGTGCTTAATGAATCATATTTATATATCATCAGATGTTTGTTTAACAAAATATTGCTACATAATTATTGTTTGTATATATGTATATACAGATACATGTCAAACATATACAGTTTTGTATAATATATATATTTCACATATAGGTATATCACATATATATATATATTATATAGTATGTATATGTATGTATCATATAGTATGTATATGTATACTTTTCAAAACTGTATATACATATTCAGTTTTTCCACATATATATATACATACATATTAATACATACCATGCATAATTTTCTACACATATAAATTTCTATGATATTTATCCTACGGTACTTAAATATCATATATAAAAGATATATTATAGATTTGAAAAATACAGATATAATATAGATCTATGATAATTATACCAAACTGCGATAGAACCCACTTCTCTATAACTGGTTGATCATGCGGTTTTTACCCACTTATCACCTGGAACACATACCAAAGTAGAATTGATCATACAGATGCAACCTAGCAATATGAAGGATGCAGATCTCGGAAGCAAAATCTTAGCCATAAGTGGGGTGATTTTTGCCTGATGATTTGTTTGATACTTCAACATTCACAGCAAACCTTTGGTTGTCTACTTGGTACCGTAGATTGATGTTTCTTTCCAATAAAAATGGAATCACTAAACCTCATGTCTACTTGAGTCAAGGGCATGCCTTCTGACCAGCATCCCTTTCTCCGGAGACATTTCAACACATTTGCCTTTTCAAAACTCCAACTGCAGCAATCCGGTGATCCAACTGCAGGTGCTGAACAGTGTATCAGCCACCCCTCGGAGGAGGTTTATATGCAGGAAGAACTGACGCGTCACCTGAATACCAAGCTGCCACCGGCCACGAAGGCGGGCTGACTGGCTGAGGTTTTACCTCGGTGCTCGAGTTTTGGTGGATTTGGATACAACTGTTTACAAAGCAATAGTAAACCACCCTACATTTACCGGGAGTGGGTGGTACAAACCATCAATATACGGGTGATTTATTATTGCTTTTAACACTACCATGCATTCATTCATCTATGGCCTCAAGATAGCACGTTCATGTGATGTTTTCGGCTTGGTCGCTGCGCCAAAACATGCCAAAACTACAGCCCCAAATTGAGCTCGGGATGCCAAAAGGCATGGCATCTTCACTGACTGGATCGCGCTGTGAAAAAGAAGGGCCCAATTGGTACGGGAGAACAGCCAGGTAGAGGTCATAGGAAGCGTTAGATTCATCAGCTCTGATCCAAATCCTTTGCCTTGGATTGTATACAAAGGGTTGGCAGTGACTTTAAATACTTTAAGTGTCCCGGTTTAAGGGGGCTCAATGGCACATTGAAATGCTTCATGGGGATTGTTTCCACCCCCGGAGGCCAAATGCGGTCCCCTCAATGGGACAGTGGAGAAGAATAGCGTGCAACATGTCCAGCCAAGGAGAGATGATGTGGATTCAAGGACATCAGATGGCTCGTTTGGTTGGCTACTGACCAGGGCTTTTGGGAATCTTGTTTGAAGCAAAACGTGTGATTTATATTCACTGGTATAGTGTATACATGATATATATATAATATATATATATATAATATATATATATATATATAGATACAGATACAGATACAGATATAGATATATATCCTCCATGTTTGGATGCCTTGTTTGTGTAGTACCAACAAATGTGGGGGAAGAACATTGCTGCGCTACCATTGGAAGTTCCCTAAAAAAGTTTTAGCTACACGCTGGATGCTTATGTAAGTTGGAAACCCCAGCAATGGATAGTATTCGACCATACTTGACCAAAGCATCGTCCAGAATCCAGAACCATTCTTGGGGTTTCAGTTTAATCTTAAAATATCAGGGAATTGGTTGATGAGCCCAAAGCCGGGGTTTATCAACCACCGCCAGTTTTATAATGGCTTATTTACAATCTTCTTATCGGGCGGGGTGTGAATCCCCATCAAAAAGTTAGAGATAGTCAAATATGTTGAAACCCATTGAAATGTGTTCATTGCGTACAACCCGAGTTGAGCCTCTTGTCCAAGCCTAAATACCCCAGATCCTCAAAATCCCCTTGTTACAGCCTGGTAGTTAAACATATGGCTTGCCGGAAAATCCACAGTTTGTTCGTCGGATTATTTTCCCATCGAAACCTCCATTTACTCCATTTAGTTCGGGGATGTTCCGGATTTCCCAGCTTGCCATGTTTGCGTGTTGGTTCATTCTATCCCATCTCATCCCGTATCATCCCATACTATTTCAGATTATCCCGTAATATCCCCATTATATCCTCAGGATATTACTGTATATTCCCATTACCCTGTGGTTACTCAACGTTTAGCCATGGAAAACCACCCCTTTTTATAGGTAAATCGTCATAAATATCTACAGGCAATTTTCCATATGTGAAATCACCAGACAGTCCCTTTTTTCCCATGAAATCCGAAGAATCTCAGCCATGATTTTCCATTTTATCAGAGGGGAAACCCCAGACTTTGCCTACGCGAGGAGCTCCAGTGCCATGGCCATCATGGCGATTGCCCAGGGAGTTTACCCAAGGTGGACCCCAAATGGGGATGGTGTTACTGTTTGGTTTGATACTATACCCTCTGGTATAAATTAACATAGCTATGGAAAATCACGGGAAAATTCACTATAAATGGTGATTTTCCATAGTTATGTTAAATTACCAGAGGGTAATTGTTGATCTGCCAATTTTAACCCACTAACGATTGTAATTTTGTGGTGCTCAAGGCTCAATCACATGTTTTCAACGCCAGAGGCTAATGAGAGCTAGCCCCATCGTCCATCGTCTATAGGTGGTTGTTTGGCATGTGACACACCAATATGTATCAACGCATTCCGCGTTCTAATCTTTGAAGCTGACTGCGCCCTCCGGTTGTTGGGAAACATGGTTGGACGGTCCCCACATCCCCAATTTCCTGGGAATATGTTTGAATCTCTCAGCCATTGCATTCTGCATTTGTGGCTCAGCAAAGCTCCGGTGACAAAATTAACGCGCCAAATATTTTCTGCACTGGAACGGTATTCCCCTTTTTTGTGAGCCCCACCCTTCTCAGCAACTCTGGATTGCAGCTTATAAATACTTCAATACTCGCAATGGAAACATGACCTCCAAGTTGACCCCAAGATCAGTTTGCAACCACATTGTTTTCTTTGCCATCCTATCATCTATCCTCCCTAGTATGGAATTCATAGGCAGCTGTTTTTTTTTTTAATATTTTTTGGATACATATACATACACACACACATATATATATACATACATCAATTCTATGATCTATTAGATTCACCATAGGTCATGTGATGCTGGGATCGTTTGTACTGACTTGGTATCACCGGGCACGTTGCGGCACGTCGAACGACTGCGCCGCGGAGCGACTCAGCGCAGCTTGCCTGGTGATGCCGGGGTGGCCATGCTTAAGACAGCGGGATTTCTGTGTAAACCTTGGTTTTGGTTGGTCAACACTGTATACCCAACAGGCAGGAATGCATGAGATGATACTATATGTATACGGCTAAGGTGAATCTAAGGTTATGCTTAGCCATGAATTGGAAGCCAAGTAATTAAATGGCACGTCGATGATGTTCAAATATTTTAAACTCGCGTGATAATCACGGCTAGCTAACCTCATGGGCCCATCAAAGTAGTTGGAAAACAGGATTTCATATTGAGGAAATCGTTTTCAACAACATCCCATTGAACAAGTAGCAGTGCATGAATTTCTTACTGAAATGGACTATATTTAAGGACAGGATGGGGGAATACCAATTCATTTTTATTCATTGGTTGTGCCCATTGCACTGTTCCATGAGAGTAGCTGGCCTTTTTTGCCTTCGTTAGTGGGAACGTTTCAAAATTTGGATTTTCAGCACCAATTGGAATGCCAAAATAATAGCAAACATATATCATGTGACAATCCCTTGCATTTGAAGGGCGCCCCATTGGCCCATTTCAGACATACCCGAGATTGGAATTTTGATCTTTCACATCATGTTGGCTCACAACTCGTTACATCTCTGTTCATGAGCTGTACTGCTCCAAAATCATATTGCTGTTGGATTGCTGTCAATTGTCTTCCAGCTCTGGAGGCTGGATCTCCACTACGCGTGCCATCGCTTGCCTACATCACATTACAATATTGCTCACTTGCACTGCATCGAGGTTCACTGCATTTGTACCTGCACACATCAGTAGCTGCGTTTGCATACTCGTACAAAGATATAACGCAGTATACGGATGCGTTTCAAGATGTGCGTTCGAAAAGAGGCACAGGCACATACATCTTTAGGTGTATGTATCAAGCACATGTGTTTCTCCATCTCCACTTGTCCATAGGGTACGTCTCCGCCCTTTCGCTCGCTTCCCAGGACTGGTTGCCCTTCAACTTACTGCACAGATTGGACGGTGGGAAGGGCTGCACGGCCGCGTCCCCGCCCTATAAAAGTATGGTTAGGGTTTGTGTCAAAACGGGAATGCACCTAACTAGTCAATTTGATATCACTGAATGGGTGAATTATGTTAAACCATCGGTTTTGGGGCCTCCTACTTTGGACTTCTGTTTAGGCAGACGTTGGTGGATAGTCAGTAAATTTACTGTATTGATGTTGAACATCCTGTTCCCAAAGTCTTCAAAACACAGGGTAAGTCTTGGAACATGATTTAACTGATGGGTGATTCGCAAGAAAATTTGACATCTCAGGTTGGGCATGAAAACCAGCCCGGAAAGACTGAACTTGAGGCATTTGAATATGATGTTTGACTGGAAAACCATTCAACAGGGTTCCATTCCATATTTGATTTCGGGAGGGTGTCACAGAGGAGTAAATGACAAATATAAATCGGTCACCAACCCATTGCTTGACCAGGGGGGAATTGCTGTAGGGGTGAAATCTCAATGTTGGCGAGCATCCCCATGTTGAAATCTAATGGTTCGATAATGGTTCGATACAATGATGAACTTCCAAAGGGTGGCGCCGGCCGGCTCTGTGATCACCCGCGTCTTAAACTTGGAGCGCTGGTTAAGTCGATTAAGTGAAGAAACATTTCGACCATCAAAGAAACCTATATTTTTGGGACCCCTTGTCTCTGGTTGCTTACCGTAATCCCTTGGTTGGATTTTCCGCCTCAGCCACTGGGCTCATGTGCATGCGCCTTGATGCGGTGGAAGGAAAACTTGCTGCGATTGGAATCTGATGCTCGGGAAGCAGTTTGAGGGGCCTCCGAATCTTCCATAGCTAGAGTTCATAGTTTTGGTGGCTTTGAGCACCACTTCCAAGCTGGCGTCACCTCAGGTTTTCCCGAGAGCGTCTGAGCGAAGGGTTGTTCTAATAGTGGGGGTCTTTCAAACATGTTCACATCTTCACATCTTCACATCACATCTTCAATTCTCACAGCGTCTCATCCTCACATCCTCACATCTTCACATCTTCTCATCTTCACATCTTCTCATCTTCAAATCTGCTCACCTTCACATCTTTTCATCTTCACATCTTCTCACCTTCACATCTTCACATCCTCACATCTTTTCATCGTCACATCTTCACATCCTCTCATCTTCACATCTTCTCATCTTCATGTCTTCACATCCTCACTTCTTCACATCTTCACGTCCTCACATCTTCTCATCTTCGCATCTTCTCATCGTCACATCTTCACATCTTCTCATCTTCACATCTGCTCACCTTCACATCCTCACATCTTCACATCTTCAAATCTTCACAACTTGTCATCCTCACATCCTTACATCTTCACATCCTTACATCTTCACATCCTCACGTCTTCTCATCTTCACATTTGCTCACCTTCACATCTTCTCATCTTCACATCTTCTCATCTTCACATCTTCACATCCTCACACCTTTTCATCTTCACATCTTCACATCCTCACATCTTCCCATCTTCTCATCCTCACGTCTTCACATCCTCACTTCCTCACATTTTCACATCCTCACATCTTCACATCTTCTCATCTTCACATCTTCACATCACATCCTCACATCTTCTCATCTTCACATCTTCTCATCTTCACATCTTCTCACCTTCACATCTTCACATCCTCACATTTTTTCACCTTCACATCCTCCTATCCTCACATTTTCACATCTTCAAATCTTCGCAACTTCTCATCCTCACATCCTTACATCCTCACATCTGCACATCTTCTTATCTTCACATCTTCTCATCTTCACATCACATCTTCTCATCTTCACATCTTCTCATCTTCACATCTTCACATCCTCACATTTTCACATCCTCACATCTTCACACCCATTCTCTCTTGCTCTCTTGCCCTCTTGCTCTCTTGCCCTCTTGCTATCTTGACCTCTTCTTTTTCCTTCTTTCTATTTCTCTCTTAAGGCACGGGGCAGTGCCAACGAGACGGTGCGAAACGCAACCTTTTCGCACGAAACGAGGTTCGATCGCCAAAAAAATGTAGTAAAATTGCGATTCTCACGGTCCGGCGCAACCCTTTCGCACGAAATGAGGTTCGATCGCCAAAACCTGAAGTAAAATTGCGATTTTCACGGGTCCGGCGCAACCCTTTCGCACGAAATGAGGTTCGATCGCCCAAAACTGAAGTAAAATTGCGATTTTCACGGGTCCGGCGCAACCCTTTCGCACGAAATCAGGTTCGATCGTCGAAAACTCAGGTAAATGGTACTTCTGTGTGTTAAAAAAAGTCTGTGTGTAAAAGCGTCTGTGTGTAAAAGCGTCTGTGTGTGTAAAAGTGTCTGTGTGTAAAAGCTCCTGTGTGTAGAATCTTCTGTGGGAAAAAGCTTCTTTGTGTAAAAGCTCCTGTGTGTAAAAGCTTCTGTGTTCAAAAGCGTCTGTGTGTAAAAGCTTCTGTGGATAAAAGTGTGTGTGTGTAAAAGTGTCTGTGTGTAAAAGCTTCTGTGTGTAAAAGCGTATGTGTGTAAAAGCTTCTGTGTAAAAGCTCCTGTGTGTAAAAGCTTCTGTGCGCAAAAGCCTCTGCGTGTAAAAAGCTTCTGTGTGTAAAAGGTTCTCTGTGTAAAAGGTTCTGTGTGTAAAAGTTTCTGTGTGTAAAAGTTTCTGTGTGCAAAAGCTTCTGTGTGTAAAAGCGTCTGTGTGTAAAAGCTTCCGTGTGTAGAATCTTCGGTGGGTAAAAGTGTCTGTGTGTAAAAGTGTCTGTGTGTAAAAAGCTTCTGTGTGCAAAAGCTTCTGTGTGTAAAATCGTCTGCCTGTAAAAGGGTCTGCGTGTAAAAGCGTGTGTGTGTGTGAACCATCTGTAAAGATGTAAAACTTCTAACTTAGCAGGGGGGCAGTGCACGACTGACAGACACTGCCCAACGAAGACACTGTCAGTTCGTGGTGATACAGAGCCTGATCAGCTCTGCGTACCTGCATCAATTTTTCTTTTCTCTGAATGGCAACCGGCTAAGCCAAGTACCGGCATGTCGTTTGGTTTCCAATTTCTATTATGGATTATGCTGCATCTGAACCTTCCTCAGAACTTCGATGTCAACAGGTTTCAATCCAATGTACGGTTTTCGCAATCTGATTTACTGCTGACTTCGTCAGATGGAACAGTTGCTTTTTGCAAGGACAAAGAAAGAATTCTTCTACAATGGTTTTCTCGCTAAGTCATACAATTTTCCTGTCAGACTTTAGGGGACTGTTTGTGCACGCCTGATGCACTCCACAACAGTAATTCGATAAGAATTTTCTGAGCAAGTGTGTCATTCCTGCTGTATACGTCAAGTTGGCAGGAACCCTTCGGGGAAAGCCTTTCCAGGCTAACAATTGACAGTAAAACGATGTCTGAATTTACACTTTTGAATTAGTAATTCGTCTAAGTAAAGTGAACTGCTGGCCTTTTTTCCGATTCTCACCTTGTCGATGTCGATGCGTTGAACTGCCTGCCGCTGTGCCTGGCCTCACCTTTTTTGTCTGAATTTACACTTTTGAATTAGTAATTCGTGTAAGTAATGTGAAACAGTCGGCCTTTTTTCCAGGTCTCACCTGTCGATGTCGATGTGTTGAACAACATGCCGCTGTGCCTGGCTTCACCTTTTCTTTCATGATCAGGCAACAGGACTTGCTTTAGGTGTGGTTTTTCTTTCTTTTTATGGTCGTTGGTGAGGTTCAATTGTGCACGTAATTCAGGGGTTGAACACGTAAGCCGTCCAGAGGGTTGTGACTTGAAAGCCGAGGGCCTTTGAGCCTTATCACGAATCTTCCATGAGTTGTGGATGCATCATGTCAGTAACTAGTTCCCCATGGGTCCCTATTTCATGTGTTCTTGCGTTCTCCTCTCTCCAGGTAGGTTTGGCCCGTTGCGTGCTGAGGTTGATGTAGGTTTTCGCCGTGTCAGGTTGGTTCAGGCGCTTCTGTCTTCCCCCTCCTCCGCTGGTCTTGTTCCGGTTTCCGTCGGCCTCCGCTTTTCTTTTCCCTTGCCTTTCCAGGGTTGCCCGTTGCGGGCTAGGTTTCATGTGTTGGTGTTTTCTCTTTCCCTCTTCTTTTGCGTTCCCCTCTTTGCGCCCTGGTTAAGTAGCTTTCATCTCATTGTCATCTTCACCTCATCTTCATTTCCCTTCCTCTTCATTTTCATCTCATTGTCGGGACCTTAATTTCCCACCCTCCTGCGGGAGGGTGTGTGTGTGAACCATCTGTAAAGATGTAAAACTTCTAACTTAGCAGGGGGGCAGTGCACGACTGACAGACACTGCCCAACGAAGACACTGTCAGTTAGTGGTGATACAGAGCCTGATCAGCTCTGCGTACCTGCATCGATTTTTCATTTCTCTGAATGGCAACCGGCTAAGCCAAGTACCGGCACGTCGTTTGGTTTCCAATTTCTATTATGGATTATGCTGCATCTGAACCTTCCTCAGAACTTCGGTGTCAACAGGTTTCAATCCACTGTACGGCTTTCGCAATCTGAACTTCTGTCGATTTCGTCAGATGGAACAGTTGCTTTTAGCAAGGACAAAGAAAGAATTCATATACATTGGTTTTCTTGCCCAGTCATCCAATTTCTCCTGTCAGACTTTGGGGGATTGTTTGTGCACGTTCGATGCATTCCACATCAGTAATTCGATAAGGTATTTCTGAGAAAGTGTGTGAAAGTGTCCCTGCGTAAACGTTGTGTGTGGAAGCATCTGCGTGTAAAAGCATCTGTGTGTAAAAGCGTTTTTGCGTAAAAGTGTCTGCGTGTAAAAGCGTCTGTGTGTGTAAAAGGTTTTGTGTGTGAAAGGGTCTGTGTGTAAAAGCGTTGTTGCGTAGAAGTGCTTTGCATCAAAGCATCTGTGTGTAAAATCGTCTGTGTGTAAAAGGGCTTGTATGTAAAGGGTCGGTGTGTAAAAGGGTCTGTTGAGCTGACCGAAATGTGCAGCACTCAGAATTGCATCGTGAAGTCACGTTGCAAGTTGCAAATGTGTCGCATCTGCCACTACAGCACGAGAAACCAATGAATTGGCGTTCAAGATTTCAACCGCCGCCTGGTCGCTACAAGTTGTGCAGCACTCATAGTTCGCATCGTCAACAAGTTGCATCACCAGACAGCATTCCATGTTCTCATTGACTCATTCTTGCATGTTTTCCTTCAATATACTCAAGACGAGTCATGTCCAAATCTGATGGTGGCCAAGCAGTGTGTAGAGTTTTTGCATTGAAAATGTTGGGTTGATTCGCACTGCAGCCTGAGAAACGAATCAATCGTAGCTTTTTGTGGTTCAAGATTTGCACGATCTTGGAGGACGTCGCTATGTTGAAAAGTAGCTCGCCTTCCATCGTTTAACATGAAGAGGATGATGCCTTGTTGGCGCTGCGCATTCCATATGGCCATATGGGGAGTCTGGCCACAGCTGGTTGCGTGAGACAGTGGTTGCTATGGATCATAGCACTTTGCAGCAGCTTTGTCAAGCAGGTGGCGTTGCTGGTGGCGGGAAACTGGCCGATCTGCGGCGTGCTTTGGAGAGGCACATCTGCGGTCAGGCTTGGGCATTGGAAGCTGAAACGTTGTGTTTTTGGGATGCCTGGGGGTGTACTGAAGTTATTTATGGGGTTGGTTGTCGGTTAAAATGTTACTGGGTCAATGTTGTAACAAGTGCCAATGACAAGATCTTGTGCCAAATCGTGGTGTGCCTGTGGGGAAAGGCCCACATGGGCAGCGCCTATGACTTTAACTTACTGATGTATTTTTTGGCACTTCGCATAGGCACACCATGCTTGCCTGTCATATCCTTGTGGGTTTTCCCACTATATTCCCAAAGATGAAAGTCGTGGCAATTGTATACTTTTCCTGGGTAGTTTAGGTTGGCAGACAAATTTTAGCAGTCGCGGCGTTCAGGTGGTGATGTGTGAGGTTTGAAATTGGAAACACGTTTAATACGTAAAAAATGTGTTTGAGTTCTGTTTTGCTTCAGTTTGGGGCTCAAATATAGACAATCGAACATAGGTCATCCTGACCTGCTGCCCCATGCCTGGCGGTTCCTCTGCCCATGGCTTTGCTTTCTCTTCCCCAGACAGTTTTAGCCTTTAGATATCTTTGGCTATCACAGTGCCTACGTCTCAAACAGTCTGTGCCCGCTCAAATTTGTCACCGCCGCCTTGTTTGCCAAGCTTGTGTCCCTTTGTCTCCCCTCTGTCTCCCTTACTCGCCCTTTGTCTCCTCTTCTGTCTCCTTGCTCTTGCCTGTAGCTGCTGCTTGGCTGGTTTGCTCTTCTGCTCCGCCGCTGAAGGCTCTTGAGTTTTAAATTTACTGTTCTGACAAGAATGCGAAAGCGTGTGGCTACCAAAGAGTTTGTCAGGAGACTTAGGGGGTCAGTCTCCCAAAATTTGATTTTGGACCTCGTTCGGACCTCGTTCGCATCTCGTTCGGACTGCCTCGTTAAAATTGCAGCCAGCCAACACCCAGCCCGGAGAGGTTTTTGAAAGGCTTTGCAATGGTCTGCTGCTTGCTGCTGCTGCTGTTGTTGCTTGTGCTGCTGCTTCTGGGCAAGGCGCGGTTTTTGGGCAGAGAACCAAGAGATTTGTGAAAGGGCAGGAGCTGTGCGGAAGAAACGAAAAGCATAAGAAGATGACCTGAAAAAAGAAAGTCGATCCGATCAGCGGTGTGCCATGGGGAAGTGGATGAAAGGGTTGATTGGCATGAAGTAGAATTTATCATAGAAACCATAGGAATGTAATGTCGATCACATCCAAGTTTGTATGTTGGGAATGCCATGAAACTTGGTGTGCCATGCGGAGGATGATAGTTCTGACCGTTCAAACAGGCATATGGTTGTCAACTTTTGGTTAACAAGCGTACATTAAACGCATAGTAAATAGATATATTTGAGCTGCCTGCTTCAGAATTAGTCCACTTTGACCGTCGGTGTGCCAATAAGATTTCCACCTGGCGGAATGCACGCTAGTAGCAAGGACAGTAAGCCCTGACATCAATGAGTGGATGAGGCATCTGGAAGTACTGGTGGAGGGCAACCATGTTCGAGGTTTCAGCAGCCTGGTGGAGGAGCTGCCTCCGCCCAACCGGAACTGTCCGAGGAGGAGGCAGTTGCTCGGCAGCTGCGAGAGAAGCTGCAGCGGTTGCGAGAGGATGGCGCCATCAGGGGACCGGAGTGGCTGCAAGGAGCTGTTGCGGACATCCGTCGAGATGAATTGCGAGCAATGGCAAAGGCAGCGGGGTTGCCAGTGAAGTCGAACAGCAAGCGGCTAACGGTGTCAGAACTGCAGGTGCCACTTTCTTGGATGCATGAGCCACTATCTAGGTGTGTTCTGTCTCTGTGTGTGTGTGTGCGTGTGGTGTCTGTGTGTGTACCGTGTGTGTGTGTGCGTGTGCGTCTGTGTCTGTATCTTTGTTTGTGCGTCTGTGTATGTATGTGTTTCTTTGCTGTCTGTCTCTGTCGGTTTCTCAAATTTTGTGTCTATCTTTGTCTACTTCTGCTTAAAATCTGACATAGCGTTCCTATCTCCTTTCTGCTTATCATCTGCATCATCTTCAATGAAGCTTTCACCTACAATGTCTTTGATACTACTTACAACAGAGTAACATGCTCTTCTACGCTCTCGGGCCATCCGTCGTCTAGTTTTGAAATATATCGTTTTCTCAGGATGGAGCTGGCTTCCGGTTTCTTTGCAACAGCATCATCAAGGATGCGCAGCGAGGTCTGGCTCGGCTGAGTCAAAGGTGTACGATGGATTTTTGCCACCAAGTCTGTATGTTCGAGCCAAGCCCAACCATACTTTTCCATGGCTTCATGAAAGATGGTAATATGCTTCGCAATTGATGACGATGTTGGGGATGGGTGGCGTGACAACCAGAACCAGCCATGGCCCAAAAACGGCTTGTGAATTTATCTTCTGCTCATCTATAGGGTACCCTAAATAGATCTAAATAGCTTTACTGTGCCCATAGAGGGCTATAGTAAATTATAGGCCTTGACGGGCATACTTCCTTACATGGACATGACATCAGTTGCTTGCTGGTGATTTCCCCCATACTTGGAATGATAGATGGAATTGATTTTCCTTTTTAACACGTTGGTTCAAGGCACCACCCACCTCAAAAAAAGATACATGTTTACCATGCTGAACCGAGAATCTTTGAAGATATCAACATCATTTAATATCTGTATATGAACCAACAATATCACAATTATCAAGGCATTAATTTGAACAAATGGTGACGCTCACCTGCTGTCACATCTCCAGGCTCCTCATGGCAGTTGGCCCCTGCGTTGCTGAGCCGTTGTCGAAACGCCTTTGACGCAGCCAATTACAACGCGGCCATCGCCAGCTGTGGCGCCGCCCCGGCAAGGGGCATGATGGGAGGATGGTTGGTTGATAGCCGAAGAAATGGATCGAATATATAGACCTTGGTGAATGGGATGATGGTTGATCATTTGTTATTTGACTGCAATTTTGATGGAGGGGAACCTACATTGAATCTACGGTGGGATGTGTCATGCTGCAAATTGATGCAGATTTTCCGCTGGAAGCGTTGGATTGTGGGGCCTGAAACTACACTAGTTCATGTGAAGTGAAGGGATCCACCAAAAGGATGGAAATTAATTACACCGGAAGCGGCCCCAAACAGTGTGGGGGCTAGGATGTCAATGTACCAGATACAGGCAGCAGCAGCAGCAGCAGCTGCTATGGAACAGTAGCAGATCAGGTGAGACATTATCGTAACTGCAGCAGCAGGAACTTGCCTTGGCACAAAAAACATCGCTATGTCTACTCATCAGGACCTCTCGTACCAGGACCTCATACCAGGACATCCAAGAGAATTCCAACAGATCGTCGAAGAAGGACCTTCTATATACACAGGGCCTTAGCAGATCTTCCCAACAAGAACTTCCAGTGAGCATCCCAGAAGAACACCACGATCTTAAGATCTGAATGCAAGGACCTCTTGAGGAAATTTCGACAGTACTTCCACAAGATCTTCTCACAAGGACCTGTACGAGATCATGCAAGGCCACCTATAGAGGATTTTACCAGGACCTCTTCAAGATCTTCTCACAAGAACCTGTACAAGATCATGCTAAGGCCTCTGGCGGCATTTCTCTATAGGATCTCCACAAAATCTTCTCACAAGGACCTGTATGAGATCATGCACTGCAAGGACCTTCTTGTAAATGACCTTGACCAAGATCTTCATGCCAGGACCCCTCACAAGATCGTCATAAAGGCTCTTACAAGATCTTGACGCAAGAATTTCCCAAGAGCCTCCCACAAGAGATTTGATACAAGCACCTCCAAGAGGATCTCACCAGGACCTGTACAGGATAATTTAATGCTACAAGGACCTGTTAGAGAGGACCCCACCAGGATCTCCACAAGTTCTTCCTATAAGGGCCTGCTCAAGGTCATGCATGGACCTCTTAGAGGATGTAAGCAGGATCTTCACAAGGTCTTCCTAGAAGGACCTGTGCAAGATCATGCAAGGACCTCTTACAGGATTTCATCAGGATCTTCACAACATCTTCCCACAAGGACCTCTACAGATCCTTGGTCAAGATCTTCATGCGTTACGGACCTCTAAGACTGCACCATGAAACTCTTGAAAGAGCGTCAGGACCTTCCAGCGAAATAATTTAGAAGATCCCCTCTAATTACCATGCAGTGTCTAAGAATATGAGCTAAACCAGCACCGCGCCACGACGAGAGCGATCCGACACGCAAAAAGTCACGAGAAGGTTGCGCGAGCCATGTCAAGATTCGCACCGTGCCACAACGAGAGCGATCCGACACGCGCAAAGTGCCCAGAGAGTTGCGCGAGCGATATCAAAATTCGCACTCCCCCACAGCGAGCATATGGACATCTCACAAGGGAACTTTTACGCGAGCCGGCGCAGACAAGAGCGGGGACCAGATGGAGCACTCTGATCCAACCCCAGCCCCAGCCTTTGACACCTACCGGAAGAACCCCTCAGTGTGACACATTGGCCGGGGAACAAAACTGCCCAAAAAGCGTTCCCAATTATTTTGATGGTACTTTCCTGCGGTGTGCTTTGTTTCATCTGGTTGAAGCCAAGGCAAGGGGCAATGGCTCACAGCCTTGGCGTTCTTGCAGCAAATGCCCATGTCGAGGGTGGAATCTGGGGCCGCAAAAAGCTGATCATCAAAGGGAACCACGAGGAGTTTGGGGCGCAGTTCTACTAATAAGTGGGTTATAGAACCATAGTTGCAGGCATTATATACATCCCAACTTGTTTGTTTTAACGATATTTGCGCCGATCATTAACCTCAACTGCAACCCCAAGAGTAATTTGGGCATACTGGATTTGTACAGAGAAGCTATTGCCGATCTGACTCTAAGGATGACCACCCAATTTTTTTCAGTTTGCGAGACTAGAAAAGAGGAGAAGCATGACTGGATGCGTAGATCCCGATATAGGCATCACACTTATTAAAATGCAGGGTTGTTTGGTGTGACTTCGAATAGTTTTCGTTTGCCATACCTGGGATGATCATCTCATCTCTAATTGAGCCCCGTGTATAAATGGTTTCAATTGTAATTCCCATCCTTTTTTTCATGAATTGACGCTGCCAATCACTGAGCTTTTCGACTGGACGCTCAGGGCTATACGGAGGTGAGTTTCGGTTGCGCCATCAGCGCTTTGCACGGTGCTTGGCACATCTGCTGTGAGCTACTGGGCGCCATGCGACGCTTGCCATAGGGGCTTGGTGGTTGATGGCACCAGCCACGCTTGTCTGGTAGTGAAAAATCGGCCATTCATGGAGATGTAGCGGTGATGTGATGACGCTGTTATTTTTTATTGCGTTTTAATGGTGATAAAGAATGGATGAGAGACTGGATGGGTTGTAATGACTTCATTGCGACGTCGCTGGAGTCATGGTAAGGTTTGGGGGAAGCATCCTCACAAGGTAAGGCTCTCGCCGCTTCGGGCTCCCATGCGTGCATCGCTCCGGGCGCCCACTCATGTATCGCTTCGGGCGCCTGCTGTAACTAGCGCTTTCTCGACGTCTACGTATTGGTACGTGGTGCGTAGTAGGATCATCATCATCATCATCATCATCATCCTCATCATCATCATCATCACCATCATCATCATCGTCATCATAATCATCATCAATTATCATGACCATCATCATGACCATCATCATCGTCATGACCGTCATGACCGTCATGACCGTCATGACCGTCATGATCATAATCGCCGTCAACAGTAGACATAATATGTCTTCACCATCATCGCCATCATCATCACCACCATCATCATCATCATCATCGTCATCATCATCCTCATCCTCATCCTCATCCTCATCCTTGGCATCATCATTTGCTTCTGATCATATATTACTACTAATCTTCATCATCATCATCATTATTATCGTTATCGTTATCGTCATCATCACCATCATCATCATCATGATAGCACCAGGAGAAGATGTGATAGTGTGACACTGTGTTTGGGGTGCCCTTTGCAAGAGAAGATCGGCTCATAGTGTAGCATAATATGTCTTTGTGCCAAGAGCAAAAGGATGTTGATACACACACACACACACCACCCATCTCCCACCCCGCAACAGGTGATGTGAGCAAACGGGAGCGTGCAGCAAGTGAGCGATTTTCCGAGCTGCGAGGGGGACATACGAGACGCAAGTGAGACAGGTCTACAAGAGAGAGCCTTTCCGAGTCGCAAGTGAGACGTTAGCCTCGCGCGTACCCGAACAAGCCAGAGACTGCTGAGTCAATTCGGTCGGATACAGTTAGACACGCATATATAGTCATATATGTATGTATATATATATATATATGTAGGGATATGACACCCCACCTTCCTCCGTCCCCCCTGCGTGTCTCTTGCTACGCGGCGTTCCAATTGCGATGGTTGGGTACGCTTCCCAAACCCGCGTATTTCGTAACCCGCGTCTTTTCCGCGGTGTTCTATATATATATATATGTGTGTGTGTGTAAATATATATATATATATATGTGTGTGTGTGTATATGCGTATATATGTATACAGATCTGAATGGCTGACTCAAGTAATTATGTAAGTAGCATGCACCCTTCCCACCCCCCAACCAAACACTGAATGGCGGAGTCAAGGAATTATGTAAGCAGCATGATCCCTCCCCACCCCCAACCAAACCCTAAATGGCTGGATCAAATAATTTATGTAAGTAGCATGCTCCCTCCCCACCCCCCAAACCAAACACTAAATGGCTGAGCCAAGTAATTATGTAAGTAGCATGCTCCCTTCCCACCCCCCCGACCAAACACTAAATGGCTGAGACAAGTAAATATGTAAGTAGCATGCTCCCTCCCCACCCCCCAACCAAACTCTAAATGTCTGCGTCAAGTAATTATGTAAGTAGCATGCTCCTTCCCCCACCCCCCAACCAAACCCTACATTGCTGAGTCAAGTAATTATGTCAGTAGCATTGCAGCATGCTGCTTCCCCACCCCCCGAACCAAACCCTAAATGGCTGCGCGCAGTAATAATATAAGTAGAATGATCCCCCCCTTCCCCAACCAAACCCTAAAAGGCTGTTTCCAGTGATAATGTAAGAAGAATGATCATGGGTGCCCAAAGTGATGCGTCCTGGGGTGGCCAAAGTGTGAGGAGTGTGCGATCTCTGGGGGGTGCCTGAAGTGATGCGTTTGGGGGTGCCCTAAGTGCTGGTACCGTTCACTTTATTTAAGCTCTTTTCTGGTTAGCGAAACATGTTTTTCAGCGAGAAAATGATATACCGTATTAAAATTACGCCGTTAAACTTTCCTTCGTAGATGATTTGATGATTTGGTGTTCCATCAAGATATTGCCCCGTAGCCATGAGAGCCAGTGACAGGCCCTGTGGAAGAGGCCACAAACTCCCTACATCCTCCACAACATAATGTCCCCCAGGTGGGTTTGTTGGTGCAAAACCCCGACGAACTACGGCCATGATGGACATGTATGATATATCTACATAATTGCATTTATCTAACATAAATCCTGGTGCTAGCCCTAGTTGTAGACCAACTTAGCTATCTTGCGTGGTGCCACCAAGGATCCCAGATGCTTCAGTTGAACCTCATCGCCCTGAACGCAGCCTTGTCTGCCTGCAACAACTCGTGGCAAGCGGCCCTGATGATTTTGGATGACATGGTGGCAGAGGCAGCGGCCCGGGGAAAAGGGCAAACCGACTGGTTAATGGTTGGGTACTATATTTGGTTCTACGGTTCTACAGCATACTATAGTAGAATATAGTGATATGTATAATGTTGTATATAATCTGGCCTGTGCTTTGTATTTCGCTTTTGTTGTTATTTTTTTTGGGTCTGCCTGTGAAATCCCAGAAAAATAGGCAAAAAAACAAAATTACTTTGTTCGAGTGATCCCGACCCTGATCCATTATTCTGACATAATTTCTGACATACAACCTGGAAGTCATTCTTTCTGGCATGTACTCTGACATTCTTTCTGGCATTCTATCTGGCATGTATTCTGACATACCTTCTGGCATATATTCTGATCGGCATTCTTTCTGGCATTCTATGTGGCATATCTTCTGACATTCTTTCTCACGTTCTATCTAGTATATCTTCGGAGATTCTTTGTGGTTGAGGTCGGCGGGGACCACTCTGATCCTGCAGCTCAGGTCCGGCGGGGACCACTCTGATCCGGGGCTTGCTCCGGCGGGGAACACTCTGATCCGGGGCGTGCTGTTCGGGTCCGGCGGGTTGAGGTCCGGCAGGAACCACTCTTGTCCGGTGGGGACCACTGCGATCACAAGCTTGCAGTTGAGGGACCACTCTGATTCTGGATTTGCTGTTGGGTCCGGCGGAGACCACTGCGATCGCGAGCTTGCAGTTGAGGTCCGGCGGAGGAGGAGGAGGCCAGCTGACATAAAATCGAACAACCCTCACCTGACAGGTGGGGAAAAAACAAAAGCACAACACAAAGCACAGGCCAGTCATGTTAATATATGTATGTATATATATATATATATGGTACTGTAAACCCCGGGCTGTTTGAATTCCACGGGATGGATAGCAGCCCGATTGAGCTGAAAGCTGGAACAAAGCATTGGAATTTAAAAACGCTAAGATTGCACAAATGGCCTTAAACATATTGATCCCACTTGAAAAGGGGTAGCCTTGAAGCCACTGAAAATTTAAATAACACAAAAATATTAATGCATGAATTCACTGAATTTCACCCCGTAAATAAAAAAATGATCTCAAATGTCTTAACTGTGGTCGTTCATTTCTTTGTCAATTTCTTTCCTATTTGAATGACCTTACTTAACATAACGGGTCATTAATATTCCGTCAGCGAAATGCTTTATTCAGGGCCCCGCGCAATAATATTATATATATATATATATATAGTATTCTCACCGTCATTCTCGCCTAATTTTTGTGGCACCCTTTCTCAAACTCTTCCTGGAACCAGCCCCTTCGAGCTGGAAACTGGAACAAAGGCAATTTTGTTTTACACACATGTTTTTGTTTTGAATTAGAGAAGTTGTTCGGCAATGCTTGTGTCCGCTGCGCACTTAAGCAAGTTATTTCTTTATACACACGTATTTGTGTTCAAATAGGCGACTTGTTCGTTTCAGTTTTTTCTTTTGCAATGATGTAAGCGTTTTTTCAATTAGGCAATTTGTTCGGCAAAATGTGACTTATTTATTCCCCGTCCATCAAACGAGGAAGGTTTATTAGTCCCACACCGACAGTATTTGCATCAATAGATGATTTTCCCGTGCGAAACCTCCATCTAGTGGGATTTTCCGGCCATGGCTGATATGGTTTAAATATGTTGTGTTCCCTTAAAAACATCTAAAAACACAATTTTTGGTGAAATCCCACAGCTCCAGCCTTGAGGTGCTCTCCCCAGACCGGATCAGCTTCAGTGCGGTGATTTCTTGTGCCGGGTGGGCACAGGCCCTTCGGCCCCGGCTGGGGTGTGGTGAACCCTGGCTGTCAGAAACCTACCATTTGGGGATGGTTGAAGTCGCACCCAAAATGGTGATGACTTGGAGGTGGTTTATTGGGTATACCACATGTTACAAGAGTAATCAAAACAATCTTAATCAGAATCACATGATACTAACAATTACATATACGTTGGGATTATAAGAACATTCATCGTCAAACCAATAATAACGATAATGATATGCGATACCATGTGCATTTATGTGATACCTTTTTCCGGAAGGGTATGTATGGTTTCCATCTCCATTTTTTGGGGGCGCAGGGGAAACTGGGGACCTTCAGACGCGGGAGTGCTTATCTGAGGATCTGGAGGCCATATATAGATATTCAATGATATATATATATATACATATGTGTGTGTGTGTCTTGGGATATGATCATATGCATGCTGCATGTTGTAAAAACACATATCTTGTGCAGTACCAGATAAAATCACGCAACCATTATAAAACTGAGATATCATTCATTCACAGGGCGTACATAAGCGCCATATATTTATATAATTCCAACCTGGGGGCTAAGGCAAACAAAGTGTCCATGGCAACAAACTGTTGGCCCTCAGTGCGTTTCATGGTCATGTTTTATGTAGGAGAAGCAACCGCTAGGCATTGGCAGCTTGGCCAAAGTTTACACCTGCCGCAAAGTTTCACATGTTCGACAACGGTGGTAGACCGGCAGACGGGCCTTTAGAAGGCCTTCTGCTAGTTGAGTGAATTTCTGAATGCGTGGTGGGTGCTCGAAACTGACTGCTTGCCATCCACCTAAGATTGATTTCACAAAATCTGGGGAAAAAAAACATATTCTCTACCTTCTGCCAGCCAAATCTGAATCCATCCGATCCAACAATCCAACAAAACATTGTATCTGTCACACACCGGGAGGCCTTGGAACTGTTGCAGCAGATGACGTCGATGAAGGTGACATGGTGACCCGCCGATGCGATACATTGAGGTCGTATAAACCATCCCCAAGTGATAGGTTCTGGCATTCGGTTGACCATGTTTACCACATGGGGGTTTCCTAACATAGGGCTACCTCCAATCATCAAAGTCATTTGACTTTGACTTAGTATTGAAACCTGTCGTCGTGGAAATTCCCAAACTTTAGGACACCTCCACATAATCCTGTGCAAATCCTCCTGTTGTGAGAGTGACCTTCCTCGTACATCTTCGTACGGTAACCGAGCAAGCCATGACCGGACCAGATCCATTTGGGATTGATCAGTTACAAGATGGTGCGCCAGTTCGTTAGCGAAGTTGGTTTACAAGTATAGGCTAAAAAAGGATTACGATCTATGATAGATATATCATGATATTTCGAACTACATACGGTGGTGGAAGGGGTTTATGATGGTTCTTGAGCCAACTTAAATATTGAGAGCAGCATCTTGTATGACCCAGGTGACTCATGTCCTTCAATCGACTTGTCACTGCGAGAAAGTTGAGACCCCCCCAACACGCGCCCAGAGCAGGTGCTTCCGGACGTCATTTTGTACAGTTCGATGATGACGGCTTGCCAGCGAGGTGCAAACTACTGTTGGGACCTGATCTGGATGAGAACTCAACTCTATATTCTCTGTAGGTAGGAAATTTCTATATGTATATGTCAAATCCTTTGATAGTCCCAGGTGGGAGTGAGAAAACCACTATTCAGATCCATATTTAGTCGGATGTTGCTCTTATCCTAAAGATTCGACCTGCAGCGATTCGGATGGTTGTGCAAAACTTACTGCTGCTGTAGGTTCGTTACGACATGCAGCAAATTGAAAACATCAGGCCCATGCGATAGTCTTCAGTGCCCCAAGAATTGCACCAAAAACCACCGCAAACTCTCTCGGATTTCCAACAACAACTTGAGGATATGTTCCACGTTACGCTCCAGGGATTCCAACACAGTCACGTAGACGTAGATATCATTCATACTCGGTTTGCCCGAACTATCCTGTAAACAAGAACCCTTTACTATGAACTTTCGCGCGCGGGCTGGAATCAGAATTTGCGATCGCTGGACCCTTGATATGTGTTTTCAGGGTATGGTTTGTAGAATCCGACGTGTTGGTTGACTTAATTGGCCAAACGAGACTTTGGAACACTTATTGGCAAAAAAGTCGTCATGTGACCGTTTCGTCCAGTGGGTATTCACTTTGGCGCATTCCTTGTTTTGATCCATTGATCGGAAGCCAACAAAACACATGAAATTCACGGAAATGGCAATTGACATACCTTACCTACTTTTGTCCTTCACCTTGAAAACTAGGCCGTAACCCCAGAAACAACACTTCATTTTCGGATCGCACGACTGTCATTTTGGGGCTGTCCATATTGATTTCATGTGGGCTGTTGTTTATTTTGGCTGATGCCATTCCCTGGCAGGTTCTCAGTGGATTTCGGCCCTGCATCTTTTGCAACTGATGCGCCTTGAGGAGTGCCTGGGTTTTCCTAGGAAATTGGGATGGGTTGAACACCACGCGATGATCGATTAGGTTGGCAAATCTTACCTGGAGGCTGGATTAGCACCCTGCAGTGCAGATCGGATACCGCACTGGTTGATGGTTTCAATCTCTTTTCCCCCATGCATGAGATGATGATTCGGAAGATCTGCAAACACATCAAGCATTTGAAACAGGCAATTCAAAGCATTTTGTCTCAAGAACCCAACCATTGGTCCTTGCCTCAGGTTACTTCCTGACATCTTCAGCTTCTCAGCTGCCATCAGCGCTTTGGCTGACGCAGAGCCTGAAGGGCGTAGTGATGTGGGGCACTGGCAACGGGCCGTGGCGCTCTTCGACAAGATGCTGCGAAGCAACTGGGATGGGACATGGGTCTGCAAACAGGGCATTTAAGCCACAGTCTCTATATATATATAATATAATATATTTTTTTATATATCATAATATATATATATATATACCACTCTGTATGGCAGTTTGAAAAGGGAACATGTGTTACTGCACAAACCTGTGCAAATCCTTCTGTTGTGAGAGTGACCTTCTTCGTACGGTATCGGAGCAAGCCATGACTGGACCGGATCCATTTGGGATTGATCAGTTACAAGGTGGTGTGCCAGTTCTTTAGTATAGTAACTAAGGTTTATGATAGATATATCGAACTAGTTTGGGGCACTTGGGATGGGCATGTGGGATGGTTCCAGGGGATGTCATTCAAATGATACGTTCTCGATTCTCCCCCAAATCCACTGGTTGATGTTTTTATTGTTCTCAATTCGATGGCCATGGGGTACCCTATGTTACCCATGTTCAGACAAACCCATGTGTGTTGAGCAACAAATACGGCGAGGTAACCAGGTCACCAATACACATGCTCGCCGCTGCCGCCGGCAGTTTTGACACATGAAGCGAGAGAGCGAGAGAGTGAGAGAGAGAGAGAGAGAGCGAGCGAGCGAGCGAGCGAGCGAGGGAGGGAGGGAGGGAGGGAGAGGGGAAACCAGCACACATGACAACCATGGGGCTGTGAGCAGCAAGAATGAAGGTACATTGTGCCCTATCCAACGGCACAGTGTCACAGTTTTTAATCAATCAAACCTACTAAACAAACGTCTACGGGTATGCACTCATCAAAGCGTTTGTCAAAAGGTGGTCCTAACTTTGTTTTGGTTTGAATCGTTGAATGGCAATAGGTAAATGAATGAATCACCCATCCACCATTCCTACAGTCATCCCAGTAGCCCTGCCAAAGTGCTCACGTTCCATGAAATGTTTGGCTCAGCGTTTTTGTAGACATAACGCCCCTGCTGCTCCGTTGCTCATCGTCTCCTGTCATGGCGTCTATCACACAAGAGGAGCTGGCCAAGCACAACAAGGCTGATGATGCATGGATCATTGTGGATGGAGATGTGCAACTTGGCCTATCCGTGGGAAGTATTGACATTTTCCCCCACCAAAACGACATATAGCACTCTTGGGGTCTTCCGTACGATCCCCATTTTGAGGCATAGAAGGGACCGCGCACAGAGGGGTCATGGACGTCATTGTGGCAAGTAGTGTGCCATTTTTCTCCATTTAGCCAGAATGTGTTTTTCATAGTTCATTCATAGTGGTTTTTGTTTTCCCATGCTGTTTGTTTTTTGCATGCTTCCGCATGCTTAGCACGTCTAATGTGGCTGGATATGTGAAAAATATGCGTGTCTTAAAAAGTCAAGGCGCTCACACGTCTCTTTTCTTCACAACCAGCCTACATAACATCCAGTAAAACTTCTGCAACGTATCCTACTGTAACAGTGTAACATTTTTCTCGTGCATACGTGAAAGCATATCTACCATTCCCATCATAGGCACGACACATCATCTGGGTAGCACGGGCGTAGCATTCACTGCTGTTTGCAAGTGAACATGAATGTTGCTGCCCCATCCCATCCCACCTCAATCCCATCATCACCGTAGCACATCACCATACATCACCTAGCACAACAATAAGGACACGACTCCGACAAAATTGGTAACCCTACCCCGGCCCCCTGGCGGCGGCACAAGCCACCATTGAAGTGCGATGTGTGGTGTTACATGTAGAGAGGCTACCTTTAGCGGCAAATTTCCGCGGTGCCTAGCTATGATTGTATCTGTCCATTGGTGGGACAGGGCCAAGGATGGCAGAGCTGTAGACCTGCCATGGTCCCCATTTTCCGGCTTTATATATCAGTTCATTGCGGAAGCATATTCATGATGGTGGGATGACCATGCCTCATGGATTTCCCATGGAACTTATTGAAACTTGACCATGGCACACACTAGACAAGAATGGATCTTTAATTGATCCGTCGGGAACTGAATCCCCTCACGTGCAAATTTGACTGGAAAACAGTAATTAATTAAAGAAGAAATATTCGAATAATGGGAAGTACTCCGGAAAGACCATCAAGACCAGGACAACAGTCAGGTAGGTTCCAACATCGAAATTCGCAATCGAAGAAATAAATAGCAATATCAGGGTTCTCGGCTTAGCCTTTCGCCATATCCACATAAAACCATGTAAAAAATAGTTCGGAAACGACGTCAACAAAAATTCTGTTGTCGGGGTTCTTGGCTTAGCCCCTTGCCACAAAGACGGTGAATAATGCAGGTACAAGTGGTTGATCAGACCACTTATCCACCGAAATGCCATTGCTTCGTTGGACTGGATAGGCAAATCGGCTCCAGTCCCCCTGCTGTTCAATATAAGTTTACGGTTGAACGGTTCAACAGAAGTCAAGAAAACCACAAGTTTTACATCTGTTCAGATGGTACACACACATATGTATCATATTTATATTTATACTTTATTTTATATTTATATATATACAGTATATATATATATATATAGACTTGTCACTAATCATTTTGCACATTGAAAGCGTGGGTTTCAGATGCCGCCCCGTGTGCCAAGGTACGACGTCACCAAATTTGCAGGCGTTCACCCCGGTGGTACCCAGAGACTCGTCGGGACGTTAAATTAAAACGTTTGCACTAGGCTGGTGGTTTCAAATTTACTCATTGTCTATACCCGGGATAATCGCCATATATAGCCACCCCAAAACTATAGAAAAGCAACATTCTGCTAGAATGGTGATAAATTACATGCTATGTTCTTGGTGCTATAATGCCATGCGTGTTTCCAAATTCCATCATTCTCCAAAAATGGGATGGGTGATCCTCAATGACCAAGTAGGTACAGTACTATATTCTTGCGGTGATTAGACTGCCACGAAGTTACTAGCGCCACAATGCTTGCGACTACAACTGGAAGAATGCAACCACAAGTGAAACAGCTATGAGATAGCATCAGGTACGGTAAATTTGCGGTATATCGCTGGTCTACATGTTGGGATTGTCCAAGAATAGGCCCGTTTAACATCGTTTAACATCCTTTTCCCATTTTTCTCTATTTAATGGTCAGTTTTGGGTCCTCATTTCTGGCCAAACCATAGCAGCCATAGCATAACCAGTAACGTCTCTTGGAAGCCAGGATTCTCTTAGAATATGCTGGGAAGGACGCCACAGAAGACTTTTATGCACTGCGGCTCCTCTGCAAGATGTGGTTTTGAAGTATAGGAATGTCGAATCTTAGCAACACAAGGAACCACACCATAAATGGTTAGTGGTTTCACATAGTTTTTTTCCCATGGCACATTTGGAAAGATGTTCCCACATGACTATATAATTATTTCAGGATCGATTCACGAAGTGATCTTCGCTGAATGACATGGTGATTCTGGAGTTGCACCATGTTGCATCTGCTTTACTTCCTGACACTTCAAACGGGGCAGTCAGTTGCCTTGCTCCGTTTTCCCTGCCGTGTTTTGGGTCCCTGTGATATCACATAATGTGTTCGGTTTTTCACATGGCTGATTTTCCAGCCTGCCATATGTTCTCTCTCTGGAACAGTTAGGATTTATGGTTAGTAAATGCTAGTAAAACAGATAATTATGTAGTTTACTACTGGGATTGTTCATGCGATATGCCGCTATACCTCATTTAATCCTACTCCCCCAGAATCATGCCCTTAAATGGCATCAAAATGGACGGAACCACATGCTAAACCATGATTTCTTTTGGTCTGTGGATGTGTTTTTTGAAGGAAAATCTACAAGAAACCATTTTTTCGCCATCAAATGTGTAGGTTTCCTGTAAATTCTGCCAGAATCACCTGAGAGATCGCCAGGCATCGACTGGAGGTGCTGGACAAGTACCAGCGCCTGAAGAAGGGACGTTTGGCGGATGCAAAAGGGCCTGTACCTGGACGAAGAATTTCTGGTGGCAAAATCTGTGATAGTCATACATATATATATATATATATACACACCTTCAATAGCTATTTTTTCTCTGAATAGTTATTAATGTCCATTGGTATACATTTGGACGTCTCTTCAGATTTGCCTATGATTTTCCAAGGGGCTGGGGCGAAATATTCTTGCCCCCTGCCCAGAAAAAGGCCCAAAGAAGGTGCCCAAATGCCCCCGGGCTTGTATTCGGCCACAAAATATGCAGAGCTATCCATATGAGAAATCATGTATATAGCAAACTATGATATTTATGGCATTTTTCTACTTTATTAAACTATGATTTTCTTCTCCGGTGGTTTGATCACAAAAAAACAGTATATACCTGCGTTGGAACCGAATTGTTGCCTCACAAACCACTGACAACTGCGTTTTTTTGATGAGATGTACCCCACTTCAGAGCATCATTCAACAGAAAAGACTTTGCATTATCCCAGCTGCAAGGCCTCATAGTTCACAGATGTTCACAGGACCCCGTTTATCTGCACTAGTCAAACCTGACGATGGAAAACCCCAAACCCCAAATTATCTCCCCTTATACCTATGTATATACATATATAATAATAATATAAATAAATATGAATATTTGTTTGTCTGTCTGTCTATCTAATTGTCTGTCTGCCTGTCTGTCTATCTATCTATTTGTTCGTGAAAGATGGACATTCCCATTTCCAGGTTGGATGACCAGAGGGTGTGAAACTGCGCTCTTCATTTCTTTCAACTGAACCATTATCCCTCCATTTATATTGTTCATGAATCTATATGGTCAAAACATGTCAAAACCTTGATTTCTTTTTTGTTTCAAATATGTCGATTAATATATAGTATATATATAACATGTATTACATGATCCCTTCCTTTACATCCATGACTTCTCTGGGATTCCCCTGAGGCACCCAAGAAGGCTTCTGAGATGATCCAGGCCAACTGGGCATAGAAACTTACATCTTCCATCGACTGCAGGATGACTCGATATATTCATATAGCGTGGTTAAACAAACAATAAACCACCGCATTTTTGATGGTTTATACAAGCCATTTATGGTAATTTTGGGGTGGTTGATTATTTTGAAAAATACACATTATATATATAATGCGTGTGTGTGTGCGTACGCACTTCCATGTCCATGTTAATAGCAACCCGAAAATAGATCGAAAAGTGGGACACCAGGAAATGTGAAGTAAATATGAAGTAAATTTATCATCAAACAAACCTCCTGGTTTCACACTTGTTTGGCCCCAGGAGTTTAGCAAGGTTCCCTTCGCCGAACCTTCGTGCCTTGGCCATGGCGCCATGGCCAGCTGGGAAATCCTCATGCAGAGGGTAAGGTGTTTGACTGATGTGCTTCATTGGTCGTTTTCTTTGGTTGAAGATTGGGCTAAACTTCCCATATGTTTGTAAGTTTTGGGTGGGTAAGTTGTCTTGCCTCGTGTTTTTTGAATACTTTTGGTGGAAGAGTTGTCTTCTGACATTTTAGACCCAGTGTGTTGATATGCTATGGCTGCTATGTTCGGAGTGGGAGGGTTGCCATATTTGGGATTTGGCGAGGCCACTGGTTACCTGGTTCTACTTCTGCAGCTTCCAGTGAAGGTGTAGCCAGTACTGGCCCCAAAGTTAGCTAACAAACCTCACTACCCTCATGTTTGTGTAAATATATTTATGTATATTTATGTGTATGTATGTATATATATATATATATGTGTGTGTGTGTATGTAAACACATTCACCCATACATCTCCATTACTATCATTGGATAAATCTATTCTATTAGCTGCTTCATATCCAATTTCTTGCTGGTGTTTCTTCATCTTAGGTGCTGGACATTTACCATATCATTTGGATTTCTCTCAAACTTGGGTGCCCAAAACAAAAAAAAACACGGTTCATCATCAGTTTCGCATCGTTAACATCAATCTAGGACCCAACAATGATGCCTCCCCCATGTTTCAAAATGTTTCAAACAGACCCAGGGCGGCTTGGGATCATCATGGATCATCCACAACGACGCGACAGGTATCTCCAGGGCTTCAAGTCGCCATACTTCAACGAGAGCCACGTGAAACTTCGCCAGGAGGCACGGAAGTTCTTCGCAGGAGATACTTGGACGGCGGGATGGTTGGGGATAGTTTTTGTCTTTTGATGATCTTCTGATATGGAGGTTTCCTAAAATAGGGGTACCCTCTGGTAAACTAACATAGCTATTGAAAATTGCCATTTGTAGTGGATTTATTTACCCATTAAAAATTGTGATTTTCCATAATTAGGTTAGTTTACCAGAGGGTACCCCCAAATCATCCACTTTAAAATGTTTTTCCCATTATAAACAATCTTTTTTTGGGGGTACCCCCATGACTATGGAAACCTCCAGAGTGGTGTCACCGTCTCACCAATCCGTTTAGGAATGGACCATGGCACAAGCCTGGGATGCTGGTGACGTTTGACGCACGTTTAAACAGGGAGTGGTTCTTAACCCCTAGAATAATTTCATGAGCATTGGATTCATTTGGGTGTGAGTTGAATTCAGAATCATATGGATATGATTGAATATGTATATATATATATGTGTGTGTGTGTCTCATTTTGGAAGCATCCAGACTACTCCTTATGAAATCACATGGTTTGGAATGATCCCGGGGATGATCCCACAGGACCATTGAAAGCTCGGCCGAGGAAAGCATGGAGGAAGCCCTGGAATGCGAAGCCAAATCCACGGCGCCCAGTAAGGAAATGCGGAAGCGCATGGGCGACCTGGGTCTCTCGGATGCCTCCTAGGGGGGAATGGGTGGAAGGATATATCTTTATAATTAGTTATGTATAAATATACATATATATATACATATATATATATACACATATATATATAATGATAGACATTTATAGTTTCAAACAATGATCAACACTCGGAATTGGAATGTGATTGAAGTAGTGATTTGTTTGAATGCCAAAGGGGTGCCTGTGCTGAAATCGAGCGGGTCCTCCGAGAAGTGGCATAGAGGTCAGCATCACCCACTGGTTAGTGGTTTCACTCTTTGTTCATCCCGGAAGAACATATATGATAATTTCACAGGCAATTGAAGAGCAATACTGCCAGGGCCATTGGGGTTGCGAAACCAGCCAAAGAGCAGTTTGTTAACCATGGTGCATCTCTCTATGATTTGCCTGAATCAGTGTGGTTGAAGCTATGTCTGCAAGACAACCCCACGGACATTTAACGGTAAGCAACTATATGGTTGGAATACGACCGAATCCTGGCCGATTTGCAATCACAATGTTCTCAGCATTTCTCCGCCACTCACTATCAGTCTGAGATTTGACTCCAAACCGTGCATATTGTTCATTATATACATATGTTTATTTGTTGACATTCCATGTGAACAGCTTTTTTTCTCTTGTTTGGTTTTATGGAATGTGTTTTTTCTCCCTCTGGTACGCATATTCTTAATTACTATGAAGGCAGCTTGCACAACGGCTCTGCGTTGTGGCTCTTTATGTGCGCTTTCTCTGTAGGGTTTCTTGGTGTTCGGCTAGGAATGAAATTCGGGTGAAATGTTGGCCAACAGAATCCTTTTCAAGAAATCCTCCCGTGACACCGCTCCAAGATCCAAGAAAAGATCTATATAAGACTTTCAAGTTGCAAAACCTCGAAGTTCCGCCTGCGTTGATTCATTTATCAGATATTTATCAGTTTTACTTTTCTTGCCAGGTTCTTGCCATAAATAAGGCATATATTGGGATATGACGGGATATGATATGGCAATCGAATCACTGCAACCTGGCCGCTGAGGCCTCATCGCCATGGTGCAAGGCCCAGGTCCTCATTTGAAGATCCCCTCGAGTCTCTGTGGAGGTGTGGTGAAGCCTGAGGAGTTGCTAGGTCAAAACTGGAGGCAAAACTGGCGATATCTAGGCTATAGTTACTGTATCAATACAGTTTTATAGTTTTATAACGTACTATTATATGATTATATGTATATGTCTACTGTTTTTGTCACTTCAGAGTTGTAGTATACTTACCGCATAGTTGTTGTATGCTGCTATAGCTTCCAGGTTCCCAATTTGTCCATCCATTTTGCTATTCCTATTCCACATCGATGCATATTTATTTGTCCGGACTTTTGCCACAACAACAAGCCACATGTAGATCTAACTATTCTACCCTATATGGATGCTGCGGATGCCAGTATTAGCCCCCACAATCGCGCTGTAAAGTTGGTTAGCCAAACCTGCATTCATTTTGGTTGATTAACTCCACATTTTGATGCTTAACTTCCCATGCTTGATGTTTAAGTCCCCATCTTTTTGATGCTGGACTCACCACAAGTGATGGTTACCTCCCTATGTTTCGCTAGTTTTCATGTTTAAACCCCTATGTTTCATGGCCAAGTCACATTAAATGTTCCTGTTTCTCTTTTTTTTCACTTTCATCATATTGAAGAGCCAGGTTTGTGGCAGTTTCCAAGGGTTTCCACCCCTCCTCCAAGCACCCCAACAAGGTTCACCTACTTCCACGAGATGGTCGTCCAGGAGGAGCGCTGTCGCACCATGTGCCCCGGCTACGAGGACGGCTTGGACGGTGCCGTGTCCATCGGACTGCCGGTGCTGCTGACTCTTGGATTCATAGTGTCCAAAGTCTTAGGCCCAAAATCATCTAAACTTAGAGCCTTTTAGTATTGAAACCCATGGTTTTGGGCATCCCCCATTATAAGAAACACGCACAACATGGTGGTGCATCGAATATGTTAATGAATGTTTGTGGATACGTAACAACAAATATCATTAGAGAGCTCATGGGTATTCATTGGTTGTATTTCATATGTTTGGGAAACATGATGTGTCGCAGATAATAATATGTATGTGTATAGTGTTTGCTTGCATTTTTGTATACAAGCATGATGTTAGTATTTTGCATAGAGTTGAACCACCAACCACTCAGCAACCCCTTGCATACTAGCCGTTCTTTTCTGAGCATATTGATGGGTGATCAGAATCCAATATGAGAAAGTATGAGAACACTTTCGCTGAGATGGCCGGAATAAATATATAAATAAATAAATATATAAATAAATAAATAAATAAATATATATATATATATCATGTCTGAACATGTTCTGATTGATGATATTACAAGCCAGTTTCCTGGACAAGAGTCTAGGACAGCTTCATTGGAGGACTCCTCGAGATTCTTAGTGTGGCTACAGCATATATTTCATAAGTAGACAGTAATTGTTATATATATGTATATGCATATTTCAACTGCATCAGATAGACACAATAGTACGCAAACACCTTTTCCTCATAACCTGCACGGCATGTCACCCTGCAATGCTAGACTTGCCGCGATTTTTTGGATGCTCTCCGTGGGTTGCAGTTGTCTCAGAATTGGATGAAGGGAACATTGGCTGGAAAAAAAGTTTACTGATAAAGAACGGGTTCTCCGTTCAGATTTTTCCGAGTCAACAGAGCCAATGAAGTTGGTAGCTGGATGTTTTGGACATCTTTGGACGTCTTTGATCAGGAAATATGGCTCGGACTGGATGAAGAATGATGTGGTTCCTCCCATCATCAAGGGCGATCAGACTTGCGCAGCGTGGCAATACCCTGGGCGCCATGTGGCTGTGATGGGGAGTACTATATACTGTACAAGAACTCATATCTAAGTCATGGGGACCATGATTACCACCAAATCAATCCAAATCATCGAAACTTAGACCATGTTAGTATTCAAACCTAAGGTTGTTGGGGATCCCCACATTTGAAGAGACCTTCGTATCAGCCTATAGCCTAAAAAACAAAGATGTGTTTGCAAACATGGTGCTTCTATAGTTTGCTCGGATTTCAGCATGGCTGGTTGCATCTTTTTTCGCTGGCTTGCACTCCTCGAAAAGTAAGCATGGAACGGCATGAGCTGCTTCATTTTCCAAAACGATTTCATCTCCCAATGCTTCATCACATATATTAAACAAATACATATAGTAGCCTTTGACCAAAGGGAACACAAACAACATATCACTCTATCTACCACCCTAACGAACCTACATGTCCATTCATGTCCACCGTTCAGTTTCCAGCATTTTTCACCATTATCCCCGACAAAGACAACATGTCCCGTGCACCGCTCCCAGGTGCTGTCCATCACTGAAGCGTTCGCGGGCAGTGATGTGGCGGGCTTGCGCACCACCGCTGTGTTGGACGCCTCCGGAGAGAATTACATCGTGAATGGCACCAAGAAGTGGATCACGGGTGGAATGTACCTTGGAAAAGGTTAACATGGCACCCTGTGGAAACCATGTTCGAACCAAGAAATCTAAGGGGACTATTTTTACCAACTTGGGGATAGAACGGGTTTTCTTATCAACTGCTGGGTGGTTTCAGTCCTGTTTTTGTTTAAAATCATGTTCAACGTTCAACCCTAGAAATGGGAGGTCCTGAGGATCATCCCAACTGACGAGAATATTTTTCCGTGTTCAGGGGGCGGTGGTTCAGGCATAGTTGGAATCACAGGTGAAATGTGTCCTGGATTTTGTATGACCTTGTTGGCTAGTGCGGGGTGGATGTTTAGCCAGAATCTCTCACTTGGATCAGGGATGGTATGTCTTGGATTGGCATTTTCAGGATGATCAGACCACATATCCCTCCCATACCACCATGAGAAACCCTAGCTGCTCTAGCTCTGTGGGAAGTGGGGCAATTTAAATTGTGGTTCCAGGTGACCCCGTGGGGATCTGCCACCAGCCCAGAGGTGGTGTCACCATGTGTCACCGGCATTGGAGAAATATGAGTCATAAAATGTCATAAATATCCATTATCAGTCATATTATCTTGACAGTCATAAACTGACCTGGATTACATTAGAAATCAGAATATCCATTTATCTTCCAAGATTATCTTCCAGGTCAGTTAGAATCACCGGATAGGACCGGTATCTTGGATCTGCTGCATCCTGTCGGGAATTGTGGAGAGATCTGGCAACCGGGGGAGATATCAAATGTAGATCCAGATGCCTCCAAACTTGCATATGGCAGTCATATGGCATCTATTCGGGGAAAGTGGCTATTGACATTTGGCAGAGCTTCCCCGGGCTTGCTACGTACGCGCAATCGTCAAAGTTTTGGAAACTGAATAGGTTCCCTGTTTTTCAAACTCCCCGACCGTCCTTCTTCCATTTTGAATTTGCAGCCCAGCCTCCACATCCTGATCAAAGATGCAGGTCTCGTGATCAAATTTCTGTGCCACCTGCCAAAAGATCGCAGACACACCAGAAATAAGCATCATGTGTCATGTGGAATCATATTCCTGAGACCCAAGGCATCCCAAGGCCTCCAATGAATTGATCCATCCCCAGACATCCATTGGTCCATGAATATCGATTGGGCTATGGGGGCTATGACTCCCATCCGCACCTCCCAAGGTATGCGGATTGGTTCGTGACGGCGGTGCGCACTGGTAAGGCCGGTGCGGGCGGCATTTCGATGATGCTGATCCCGAGATCTGATGCGGTGCAGACGAAGATCATGAAGAGCAAATATTCCAGCGCAGCAGCTTGGAGTTGAAGAGAAAATCTGGTTGGTGGTTTCAAACATTTTTTATTTTCCATGATATATGGATAATCCTTCCCATTGACAAATATTTTTCAAGATGGTTCAAACCACCAACCAGAAATGTTGAAATGATCCTGGGAGAGTAATCGTTACAGGTAATCATTGCATAGAAAAAGTTGAAAGACATGAGTTTGGATTCCTATGTGCACACATGGAGTTGGACAATTTTGGGCATGTAAGTGATAAATAGCAATGACATGTAATAACATATAGTAGCCCCCTTTGACTTTGATATTCGTTCAACCAATGTTTGGTGAGCTACTGCTCATTGATATCAGGGACTGCTTTGAGTCAACAAGGCAGCTTAATAAATCTCGAAGCTGATAATTTCAAGGTGTGAACCCACAGTTTATTAACAATGGGCGTAATAGTGTATAGAAATGCCTCAAACTTTGAGCTGGAGCCTAGGATATACCTAGATATATGATATATCCAACCAAAAGGATCTATCCCCTTTGCATATGGGATCACCTATGAGCCTGGCCCAACTTCCAAGAATTCCCTTTTTCGGGTGCGCGCGTGCTCTCCCAGGCGGGGACTGCTTATGTGACCTATGAGAACTGCATTGTGCCCAAGAAGTACCTCATTGGAACCGAGAACAAAGGCAGGATTGACCACTCCCATGAGGACTTCAAGTAACCCAGTCAGGTGGCTAATTGACCAGTCAGGTTTCACTTGAGGCTAGGGGAAATTTCCAACGATTTATGCGATTTGGGGTCCAATTTTTATAGTCATGGTTCATGACCATTGCATCATCCCTTTGCACCCAAACAATAAACCCCACAAGTTCGATGGCATATTTTTTTTGGATATCCCCACTCGATAGAGGAATTAGGATGTGGTCTTCCTGGGGTTTGCCACAGCACCAGGCTTCCAGATCATCATGTCCAATTTCAACCACGAGCGCTGGATGATCACCGTGGTGTGCATCGCTCGCGCACGAATTTGCACTGAGGAGGGTGGGCGGTTACGATGATCCACGGGAAATTGAACATGGAGCCATAGAACAATAGTTGAACGATACAAAAGATAAAGCCAACAAATATTGTCCACTTTTTTGGGAGGTCCATGACTCCATGAGGTCCATGGATTTTAAGGGTGTACCTCAGATGACCATCGTGCAACCTTCAATGCACCAGATTTCTGGACAATGATGCCCCAGAGAAGGACAAAGGTGCCCATGTATTCAGGATAATTATTAACCCCTTCCTAATGGAAACCCCACAAAGTCAACATATGTTTAGCATGTGATCTATTCATTTAGGGTCCTTCATTGGGGACAATAAATCTGAGTAGGTTGGATTATAATGGATTATACATATATAATATGGACTGCGAATACCCCCAACTCATCCATTTTAACAGGAGCTTCCATTCTAAGCCATCCATTTTGGGATACGCCCAAGTTATATATATATTATATATAATATATAAATTATGTTTTATTCATGTAAATATACAAAATATACATAAGTGATGGGGGTCCAGAGGCTCCTGATTAAGGATGTTGCCATCAAAACATGGCCTCTCTGAAAATGCAGGGACCCAATGGGCCCTATTTGTAAGGATGAAACAACACTGTATCCTGCACCATAGAGCCGTAGTACAGTTCAAGGGATGCGGCCCGATTCATTGATTGTTGTTTGGCACAATAATTTCATGGTATTTCAGTTCCAACCCCAACTTAGCGTCAATTAACTTCATGCTGGCCAGTAGCATAATTGTCCTTCTCCCTGATTTATCAACTTACCAATGATTTATCAATTGTTTATCCAAAAAACGCTGGAGTTCTCAGCTATCTTAGAGATGTGTCCGGCCATGCAAGGAGACCTTCAAGTGGGCCATGCAGCGAAAGGTCTTCGGAAAGCCCTTGATCGAACAGCCAGTGATCCGCGAAAAGCTGGCGCAGATGCTTGGCGGTTCCGGCCCACGACTAGTGAAGGGGTGGATTTTCCATGGGTTACTGCTTGGATTCAACCATGAAATGATGGGTATTTCGCCAACAAAGATGATTGGTGAAGGGTTCTATAGTGTTTCTGGGTGATTTGATGGTTACCATTGTTTAACACAGGGAAAATGCATGGCCGGACTAAACACTTGCCATTTTTGAAGGGTGCCAAGGTACAAGTTTGTCCATGGAAATCATCATCCACTTGTAAGTTTAAAGTGGCCGACCAAACTGCAGAAACGATTTCGAACATAAGGGGAAACGATCAGCTTGATGCCACGCAAATCTTATGTCAGAGTGTTCAGAACCCATGCGTGGGAACCAAGCTGTTGACTATGTTGAGGACCTCAAACCAACCTTCAAGAAGGGTGTCCTGAGCCTTGATGGCTGTTTGTTGTTTAGATTCATGTGATTTCAAATGCAGTATCTTCAGTAAATATTCAGAACTGCACTACTGCACTACATCTATGAACGCAAACTGCAAAGGTGTTACAAATTAAGAACGGTCCTTCAAGCCGTCCCTGAACAATACGTTTGGAAAGTTACTGTAGAAGAGCCTTGGTGAAAAACAAACATGTGATCAACTCCCAATTTGCATGTTTATTTCCAATGTAGGCTTAACCACCTTGATGTTTCCAAAATTTCCTGTGGATTCTGTGGCGCCTGCTGTGTTCACATCGAGGATGTTCGCGGGTGTGGAGACGTGCACCCAGATGCTCTATGCCGCTGGGCAGCTCCCATACAGAAGCTGGAAGTTTTTGGGATCTCCCTGTTGGGGAACAATTAATGATCTGGTCATCAGATCATGAACGTTAGTTAACATTAGTTACAGTAAGATTTGTTAACATTATATAGTTAATATTGGTTAGCAACTGACATCAGATAACGTTATATAGTGAGCATGATTTGATACATTTTTTGTATAGCGATTGGATAGTGGTTTTCAACATGTTGGATCATTTTATCATGTTAAGACCCTGTTTGGGAGGATGATCCTCAATGTTTCGGGGGGGCGTTATAAACAATATTAGCCAGTTTGCATCCCACGATGAAGTGATTCACATAGCTTACAATAATCAGGTGGCGTTCAACGTCGTTCAACTATAACGTCAGCAAATGTATTGGTCCCACTTTGAGCCATAAAACCATGTGGCGATCGAACCATCAACAACTTGGGGGCCGATTGGCCACACAACTATGGTGCTTGAAGCAGCCAGAAACGTCCGGTGTTATGAGTCAAGTTATGAGTATAAAAACATGAAATTGGCTGTTGGCATCAAGCATTTTTTGAAGTCGCATTCCTATGTGGAATGATGATCCCCATGTGATTAGTACTTTTCAATAGGGTGTGACCCCGCAACCACAATTATTCAGAAAGATAACAAGTTTCAAAAATTGTGCACTTGGCAGGTTGACAGGGGACAACCCATGAAAGCATGGATGGGCAGAACATGCAAAGGTCTTGTGTTTGCAGATTCTGAACATGTGCCACGGGTTAAACTAGTGATTATTGGATATGATTGGGCCTCTTTTTTCAACAACAACCCCAACCTTGAATAGCTACTTTAACCCTTTAGCTTTCTGCTATGCAAAACAACCATATAACCAGCAAGACATGACATTTTTGGTGGACTACCAAACATTGACCATGACAAAAGGCTCATTTGGTGGACCCATTGAGCGCCTTAACGCATTCAGAGCCATACCCCGCTGCTGGTTCAAGCTCCATAGTTGTTTCATGCTTAAATCTCAAGATTTGAGCTTTCCAAATTTCTGATGCTTACCTCCCAATCAGCTTGGAATCATGTAAAATCCTAATTTTTGGACAGTTCTGGACAGCAATTTTCAAAGTTTCACGTGCAGGTTCCAGCCATTTTAGCTCTAACGCTCCAACGCAATGGCTTCCGCTGGCGAGTTGCACTCGGTGTTGCTGCGTAGCGATGGATATGCCGTGGCTCTCGGACAAAATGTGAGCGGCCAATGCGACATCCCATATTTAGACGAGGGAATCTCATACACCCAGGCTGGATTCATGAAAGTGTTAAGTTTTTTGAACGAGAATCCTCGATATAAAATGGTCTATAATACTGTATACTGTATAATGTATACTTGATTAATGAGATGATATGTTCATCTATTTCACATATATACATATATTATACATGTATGTAAATTGTACACATGTGATTGCTGGTCCAGTACTGGTTCGAAAGTTCGACATATGTTTTATGTTCCATCCTAGCATGATTTGATCATGGACCTGCTTCCGTTCGTGTAGGTCTCTGCAGGCTTGACGCACACGGTGCTTCTTCGAAGCGATGGCCGTGTCGTGTCCTGCGGATCCAATCGCCACAAACGATGCAACGTTCCGGTCCTAGCGGAGGGGATGTCGTACACCTACGTGGCTGCGGGCTTTCATCATAGCGTGCTTTTGCGAAGCGATGGTGCTGCGAGGGTTTGCGGAGATAACCTCTATGGACAATGCGATGTTCCACCTTTGGGACAAGGATTGTCATATACCCAAGTGTCTGCCGGCTTTTCTCACACAGTGCTTCTGCGAAGTGATGGAACTGCTGTAGCTTGCGGCTACAACGGAAATGGACAATGCACTATTCCACCCCTTCGGCCAGGAATGTCATACATCCAGGTGTCTGCAGGCTCATGTCATACTGTTCTCCTGCGAAGCGATGGCATTGCTGTCGCCTGCGGGGTGAATGACAATGGGCAATGCAATATCCCTCCTCTGGAGCAAGGAATGTCATACATCCAAATTTCCGCTGGAAATCTTCATACAGCGCTTCTGCGGAGTGACGGCTCGGTGGTTGCTTGCGGACGTGATGAATATGGAGAATGCAACATTCCGCCCCTGGATGGATTGTAGCCATACAGATCCAGATCTTGGGTCTTTTCGTGTGTAAAGTAAACGTCATTTACCCCATTCAAAATTCACCCACTTTCGGCAGAACATGTCCTGAACCTCCAAGGCCCTTGGCTGAGGGAATGTCTTACACTCACGTGTCGGCCGGCGGCTGTCACACGGTGCTTGTCCGAAGTGACGGCCATGCGGTGGCCTGTGGGATGAAGCTTTCGGGATGCGACATACCAATACCGGAGCCTGGGAGACTTGGAACATCGTGACAGCTGTTTGATAATATAAACCTGGCTAAAATTTGATTAAATGATGCGCAATGATGCGCAATGATGCGCAATGATGCGCTGGGCGCTGGTTGTATATTGTAGATATGGTAGGATGTGTTTTTTCGCGGCTTAGCGGCTTGTAATATATACAAATGATGCAGCTACATCTTGCTTTTGAATCAAACATGAAGGGCATCATTCATCATGGCATGTTTTTTTTTTGCCTTGGTTTGGGTAGGTAGGCTAATCAGCAGACCTCACACGACCTCAACATAAATGATAATTACAGAGTGAGGGGGAAATCATCCCAAATAATATCAAAAAAAATTAGCCTGAAATGGGACTTGGATGGGCTTAGTTAATGGGCTACGAAGTGCCTTGGGTTGGAAAGTAGCCCGACCAAGTGAAACCTTTTGCAGGGTATCGCAGGCTCGTTGCGGATATTGGGTGCTATATACCCTCCAGCAATCGAATCCGGCAAGGCAAGAACTATAGATGATTTTGCTCTGGGTTTTCCATCGGTGAAAAGTGAAAAGAGCAGCTCAGGAGAATTTACTGGGAACATCTATGAACATCTAACGAACACACTTTTGTCAAAACCTCCTTGTGCCAAGGACTTGCTACATCGGCGACATGTCACTCCGCAAAGACGTCATTCTGCAATGGGACTGCGTTCGTCACGACGACGCCATCGTGCTGACCTGCTCCGGCTTGACCGGGAGGGAACTGCTATGTCTCAAGGCCCGCGGCTGTGATCTGGCGTGGGACACGCACAAGCGCATCGTTCCTGGGATTTGCGTTCCAAGTTGATGGTTTACTAGGTCATTCTTGGATGGGTAGCTTAATCCTTTAATTTTTTGCTATGAATAGACATATGTACTAACCAGTCAACAATAAGATTGACAATGTTTGTTTTCAGATTGCAGTAGCCCATGTAATCACAATTTGAGGATGCTGGGATTCTGGGGTTACGTGTTCTTACTTTGAACATTTTGTGTGAGACCCTAAAGCACATCCAAGGCCCGTGAACTAAATGTTTACCTTCAGAACCTTCGAGCAGTCTTGCCTGACGGACAGTTTCTGGTTATATATTGGTTTCAGATGTTTTTTTTCTCTCGATTTGGGAGGATGATCCCGCTTGATTCATTTTTTTTCAGGGGGTTTACTCAACCAAGCAGGTTATTGACCTCCATCTGTCGTGCACATCCAGTGACCACACTGGCAGAGGTGGCAGAAGTGGCAGAGGCAGCAGATGTGACACACAAGCGCCGGCGTCTCATGTAGGATCCTACCAGGATGAGCAGTGTAAGGTTGATCCCCAGACATCCCCGGCTATCGCCTAGCCCAAAGCGGAAAAAGGTGCGGGTTTGTCATTGATCGGGGCCACACATTCATTTGCTGTGTTGGAACCCTGTTGAATTTGTCCAACAAGTATGGAAGTGAAAGGCCAAATATCAAGAACTGCAGTTGGCAGGATGTTGTATCTGTATTGCCTCAGCAGGAAGTGCCAGCCAGAAGCGGATATTGATACGGATCTAAACATTCGGAATCTGGGGAAGGACGACTGGACATAACCATGGGAATGTGGAACGACTCACCGTCACAAAATGGGCCATGTGACCAGTTGGATAAGATTTACGGAAAGTTACAGTAAGCAGGCAAAAAAGAAACAACAAGACAACCTGGTCCAGCAAGGAATATAAATAAATAAACAAATAAATAAATAAGTAATCTAAATAATATATAATTATATATATAGAGATATATAATTATATATATAAATATATATATATTCACACACATATATGTATAATTATTTATATATATATACATGCACAGACTTTTGTACAATTTGTATACTAGAGTCCTTTACCGGAGTGGGATGGGATGCATATATCCGGATGCTTTGCTAGAGTCACACAGGTTCCTGATGTTATGGGTCTAAATGAGTTTGTTGAGGCCAGCAACACTCAGATGCAACATGGGAACATGAGGGCCTGTTGAAACGAAAGCTTGTCTTATCAGCAGACACGTTCAGGATATCACCTACAACATGGTCTCCTTCGGCTCCCAGGGCGCAGAGGTCGGCGCACGCATTGCTTTGCTGAAGTACCAGACCACGCGCCACTCGGTGTGACCATTGAGACCTGGCTGACTTCACCATAGATAATATAAGGCATTTACCTTTGATTCGGGGCGCGAAAATGAATCAGGGCGCCAAAATGAATTGTTGTGACAGGGCTTTTTTTTTGACGGAAATGGTCAAACTTACATGAAATGCTGAGAAGCACAAAATCTGCTGAAAAGCATGTTTTGTTGTGACATGTCTAATTTTTTTTGATGGAAATGGCGAAACTTACATGAAATGCTGAGAAGCACAAAATCTGCTGAAAGGCATGTTTTGTTGTGACATGTCTATTTTTTTGATGGAAATGGCGAAACTTACATGAAATGCTGAGAAGCACAAAACCTGCTGAAAAGCATGTTTTGTTGTGACATGTCTATTTTTTTTTGATGGAAATGGCGAAACTTACATGAAATGCTGAGAGGCACAAAATCTGCTGAAAAGCATGTTTTGTTGTGACATGTCTATTTTTTTAACGGAAATGGTAAAACTTACATGAAATGCTGAGAAGCACAAAATCTGCTGAAAAACATGTTTTGTTGTGACATGTCTATTTTTTTTGATGGAAATGGCGAAGCTTACATGAAATGCTGAGAAGCAGGTCATGCTGAGAAGCAAAAAATATTTGCTGAAAAGCATGTTTTGTTGTGACATGTCTTTTTTTTTGATGGAAAAAAAATAATTTAATGGATGTTTGATTGGGGAACATTCAAGAAACACCCAAAAACTGGAACTAAAAGGTATGGTCGATTTATTTTTTGTATATATTTACATGACACCATGGAAACGTTTTTTGGTAGTTTTCTTTTGTGCTGATAAGCAATATTTTGCTGAGAAGCAATTACTGTGCTGAGAAGCACGGAAAAACAAACCTAAATCGAAATGCCATGAGTACCATTAGTCCAATCACTCAATGTCACCAGCCCCAGGTATGTTGAACAAAAACTTCAAGATTTGTTTCAACTGTAGATTTAATTTACATGACATGAATCCATGTAGGATCCAATCATGCAACTATTGAATATTATATAGTTAAATGGGGCCTTCTTAGTATCTGTCTTGTCAGGAACCTTTCAGGCACTGTCCATCTTCGAGCACTTCAAGATCTTCAGGTCTCACTGTGTTGAAAAACACGATGCTGAAAAGCATCAGAGACCGAGTTGAAAAACTCTTTCCAGCCGAAAGGCTGTGTGATAGTGCTGAAAAGCACAGGTGCTGAAAAGCACCCTCGTCACACAGGGCGACAGGCTGGGAGTTTCACCTGGCATCCCAGTGCCAGCCTTTTTTTAGTGAAACCTTGAGAAGTCTCATCCAGTATGAGTGGGATGTCGGGTGCCCTTCTCACTGCAGCCAGTGTCCATCGGCCCTCCTGGCACTGTCTCTGTGGGTCCGAAAATCTCGTCTCTCCAGGATACGGTGGGATGCACCAAGGGAGTAACTGGTTGTCATGGGGAGTTGAAGGAGGATACTAGAAAAGGGGATGGGTGCACCCCCCTGCCAGGTTGAAGACGCATACACATACTGCATGGACTCACCAACATGCTGGCACATGCGTGCATACATATCTGACTGAGGTTCATCGCAAATCAGCTGGCAACTTTTCAATCCCAGCCAGTGATTTGTGATGAACTTCAGGCAGGCTCATCACAAATCAGCTGGCAACTTGTTAATCCCAGCCAGTGATTTGTGATGAACATCAGTCAGGTTCATCACAAATCAGCTGGCAACTTGTTAATCCCAGCCAGTGATTTGTGATTAACTTCAGTCAGGTTCATCACAAATCAGCTGGCAACTTGTTAATCCCAGCCAGTGATTTGTGATGAACTTCAGTCAGGTTCATCACAAATCAGCTGACAACTTGTTAATCCCAGCCAGTGATTTGTGATGAACTTCAGTCAGGCTCATCACAAATCAGCTGGCAACTTGTTAATCCCAGCCAGTGATTTGTGATGAACTTCAGTCAGGTTCATCACAAATCAGCTGGCAACTTGTTAATCCCAACCAGTGATTTGTGATGAACTTGACTGAGGTTCATCACAAATCAATACCACATGGTTGTTCATCACAAAATGACCTATCCAAAGAAACCTGGATTTGTGATGAACCTGACTGAGGTTCATCACAAATCACCCTGTTCCCCAGGCACAGGTATGAAAAGAATCAGTGAAAAACTGATCCAAGGTCTTGAAGACAGTATGATTTTGTGATGAACCTCAGTCAAATTCATCACAAACTGAGGTAGTCCCGCCGATCTTGATTTGTGATGAACAGCAACTTCATTCATCAGAAATTCAAGTTCATGGCCACTTCCGGTTCCTTAGAAGTCTAGCCATGGGTTCAACCGAAATCGAATCATTTGTGATGAGTGTGATGCCTCAAGAAATTTTGGATCAAAGGCGCTTCAAGTGCCTTCTTTCTTCCTGCACTTCGTGAGGACACGTCTGGGCGGATGATTGCAATCTTTCACGGTGACAGTAGTTCGTCTGACTCCTGTGTGTGCCTTTTCTGTGCTGAAAAGCACGGACTTCTTGTGCTGAAAAGCACAGCTAAAGATAGCTTTATTCAGTCTACTTTTTTTGCAAAACAATTGACAAGCATGACTGCTGACCAACTACAAAGAAACATGTCAGCAGTATTCCTGGTGAAAAGTTGGTTCCCATGCCACATACCAAACTTTTTTCCATCCCCTGTCATCATTGGATCCCAAGAAAATACACGACAGTAAAATTAGAATCATACTTCTTGAGGTAGTGTATTTCACCTTGATGATGTTTTGATTGTCCTTGCATGCTGCACGCACACACGCACACACACACATATATATATATATATATACAGACACACCTAGGTTAAATATCACTCACGCGGGGAGTGAACATACTAGTGAGTTCGCTGTATACTCCACACATTCTTGGGTACACAGTCTCTGTATGCGCGTGCGTGCGCGTGTACGCTTGTACGTTTGGTGAGTCCATGCAGTATGTGTATGCGTCTTCAACCTGGCAGGGGGGTGCACCCATCCCCTTTTCTAGTATCCTCCTTCAACTCCCCATGACAACCAGTTACTCCCTTGGTGCATCCCACCGTATCCTGGAGAGACGAGATTTTCCGACCCACAGAGACAGTGCCGGGAGGGTCCACTTAAGGCCGCCCCCACCCAAATGGGCCGATGGACACTGGCTGCAGTGAGAAGGGCACCCGACATCCCACTCATACTGGATGAGACTTCCCAAGGTTTCACTGCTTGCATGGCAAGTTTACTTGGAGGGACTGACCTTGGCGTCAGCCGTTTACAAAAAAAAAGGCTGGCACTGGGATGCCAGGTGAAACTCCCAGCCTGTCGCCCTGTGCGACGAGGGTGCTTTTCAGCACCTGTGCTTTTCAGCACTATCACACAGCCTTTCGGCTGGAAAGAGTTTTTCAACTCGGTCTCTGATGCTTTTCAGCATCGTGCTGTTCAACACAGTGAGACCTGAAGATCTTGAAGTGCTCGAGGATGGACAGTGCCTGAAAGGTTCCTGACAGGACAGATACTAAGAAGGCCCCATTTAACTATAATATTCAATATTTCCTTGATTGGATCCTACATGGATTCATGTCATGTAAATTAAATCTACAGTTGAAACAAATCTTGAAGTTTTTGTTCAACATACCTGGGGTTGGTGACATTCAGTGATTGGATAAATGGTACTCATGGCATTTCGATTTAGGTTTGTTTTGCAGTGCTTCTCAGCACAGTAATTGCTTCTCAGCAAAATAGTGCTTATCAGCACAAAGAAAATCAACATATATACAAAAATAAATCGACCATACCTTTTAGTTCCAGTTTGGGTGTTTCTTGAATGTTCCCCAATCAAACATCCATTAAATTATTTTTTTCCATCAAAAAAATAAACATTTCACAACAAAACATGATTTTCAGCAGGTTTTGTGCTTCTCAGCATGACCTGCTTCTCAGCATTTAAGTTTCACCATTTCCGTCAAAAAAAACATTTCACAACAAAACATGCTTTTCAGCAGATTTTGTGCTTCTCAGCATGACCTGCTTCTCAGCATTTAAGTTTCACCATTTCCATCAAAAAAAATAGGCATGATAATGTCACAACAAGACATGCTTTTCAGCAGATTGTGTGCTTCTCAGCATGACCTGCTTCTCAGCATTTCATGTAAGTTTCACCATTGATATTTGGCGCCCTGATTCATTTTGGCGCCCCGAATCAAAGGTAAATGCCTTATATGGAAAATCCATGAGAATCCATGAAATTTACGGATCATTTCCCAGGGAAATGGATGGATTTCCAGAGTTATGTAAGTTGCTTGGAGGGTAACGGGAATGAGTCCAATAATGTCTTATTTCCATTTATTTCCAGTTTTGGGCATAAATAGATTTCCGAAATCCTTCAAAAACAGGGGATGATGGGAATGGACAGACCTTGTATCATTTTCTATACAGGAAGGGCATGGGTCGTACCTTGGGGATCCTTAGGGCACTAAAGCAACCGAACCAAGCTTGTTTCTTTGGCCGGCGCTGTCGCAAGGTATGAACCACTTGGTTGCTGACAATGCCGTGCAGGTTTTGGGTGGACGTGGTGTCACCCAGACTGGCATGGGACGTGTCGTAGAGGTGGGGACAAACAGTTTCATCATCATTGCTGTGCCCCCTGATGCTCCTGATGCTCCTGCTGCTGCTGCTGATGATGATGACGATGATGATGATGATGATATCATCTATGGCGATGATGGTCGGTGATCAATGATCGATGCTTTAAGTTTGTTGGTTTTATTGGTCACTGCCTCACTGCAACGCGCAGGTCTTCTCACGCATGTACAAGATCCCAGCGGTCTATGGCGGCAGTGAGGAAATCATGGCGGATTTGGCGGTTCGCACCGCCATCAAGGGCTATCCCAAGCACGCCAGGCTCTAGATCTTAGAGGTTCCACCTAGCAGAGGCGAGTTTTAGATCCGTTTAGCAGAATTCCACTGGTGCGGGGACCGACCTTGGGAAACGTCGGGGACGCCTGGCGGAATATGCTTCGAAAGTTTCCACTGGCATGGATGGCGCCAGAAAGTGATTGTGAAAGTATACGGCTAATCTAGGGAAGCAGCAAACTGACATGGTTGCTCATCACGCATTTCCACTGGCAAGGGTTGAAAGTATCCCCAGTAACTAGCATTTTAGTTCAGGTGTCGCTCCATCTGCGTGGAATGGTTTTATCGCTCTACAACTTGCTTCAAAGGCAGTTCCAAAAGGTTCCGTGAATGCCCGGCTGACTGGTTCAAATGTCGACTAGCAGTGGCCAGTCTCTAATTCGGGTGCTGCCCAAGTAACCATGCTTGCCAACCTCTTATTTCCTATTTGCTTGGTTGTAACCCATTTCTAGTAGGTTCGACCCCCCGCATGATGTTTCAAGTGTTTTCGCTGTTGCATTTGCCAGAAGTGAGAAGTTTTTGATTTTACAGGATTACCAACATAACATCACATGTGGATATATTTGGAAGGTCATGGTTTCCTATATGACAGTGGTGTTTTTCGATGATTTTCCCGTAAACCACACAGGTATACAAGTTCAGCTGCCTTGCTCCCTGCTTTTCTCAGAAGCGCAGGAGATCCCGACCACATGGAGTCGTCCGTACTTCAACAATCATCCCCAAATCAGTAACTATGTAGTTGCTAGCTGTGGTCGGTTGCCCTGCTCTACATGTGATACTGTACCTTGTAAAAATCAGAACAGATGAACAGATCAAGAACAGTTGCAATCACCACACTCACCAACTCATTTTCTGTTTGCTACTTGCCCTGGTAAGACTCTCGCTTCAGCGCCCAAATGGGCGCCCAAAGTGATGCAGGCACCTTTACCCTTCCAATTTTGGTTGCGTGCCACCATCTTTTTCCCCCTGCCGCCCGGCCCCAAGGCGAGGTGGAGCCGAACCCTGTTGCCTGCAGCGCTTTGATGAACGCTTGCGATAAGGGAAGGCAGTGGCAGCAGGCTTTGGCACTACTGGAGCAGATGCCGCAGTTACGGGTGCCCTGGTGTCAGGTGGCCTTTGGAGGATAGGACCGGATAGGGCCTTGATGATCTTGATATCTCAGGCCCTCAGATGTTTTTTGGGGCCAAAACCCACTGTTTCGATGGTATTTGTGCATATTGCCACACGGTTTGCCATCAATGTGGGTAAATTATGGTACTGGTAACGTATAATCATGGTAATTGCGGGTCAGTAAGCTCCCCATAAACAAGTATTACCATAACCTCTTTTAATAACCTCCCTTTCTATCTATTAAAAATCATTGAATGTGTATTTATATATATATATATTTCTATCCCCACTAAACCATGACATGTTCTTTGGCATGGTTGGCCATCCCTGACTCCCAGGTGCCCCCTGACAACTTCAGCTACAGCGCCTGCATCTCCGCCTTGCGCGGCCGCTGGTCGATGGCCCTGGCACTGCTCACAGCGAAGCGATGCTCATCCCTGAGGAGCAACGAGGTGACGTACAACGCGGCCATCACGGCGTGTGGGGACAGGTGGCAGCCGGTGGGGGAAAGGTCCTTGGAGAACCTCCACTTTCACTGGATTAACTATTTGTTGACGGACTGAAGAGCTAAGAATCGCAAATTGCATTTAATTATGTTGTATTGCTGGGTACCTCAGGTCAGTTATGAACGCAGTAGATGGGTTCGCTTAGCCCAGCTGGAGGACTTACAACCATCATCCATATGATGGCTGATGCGCGTAGTTTCACCAAATACTCGTATGAGGTATAGTGGCATAAGGGGCCCCAGGGTTTAAAATATTCCCAATTTATTCAAGTTGGGGCTCCTTTCAGGGGCCACTAATAGTTGAGGCATGGATTGCTGGATGAGCACTACAGGAACACCATGGCAAATTCACGGCTCTTTATTTGCAAAATACAAGTATGCAACATCGTGGTGACTTGTCGTTACGAAACTCAAGCACACAATTCTGAAGCACAACAGATAGCAAGGAATACATACGAGCAAAATCATTCTCCGGAAAGGCTTTTGGGGTTCTCGCTTTGGGAAGCCTTAAGGCTGCTGAGATGGTGTAGCGACCTTACCGGTCCTACACCGATGTACACCGCGTCCTCTGAAGAAATTGGAAGTCTTAGCACGAGGCTCTCGGAGCACACACTGAGACCTGCTTCATGGACAACTAACATTATATGACCTTCACCTGGGTCCATGAAAAAGCAGAATCCCAGTTCTAAGTGCCACAAAACATCTGCAGTCGATACCCGGCAGGTGGGACTTGGCGGGGATGATCTTCACAGAGATGTTGGAGACATCCATTCGCCCGGGACTGGTGACGCAGAATGCCTTCCTTAGCGTGCCTCGGCGACTGGAGATAGCTGGAGATGAAGGAAACAAGGCTTAGCAGCCTAGCGCATGACTCGAAGTTCTCGAAAGCATTTATGTTGTAAAACTGGTTGAATACAAGACAGATAGGCAGATAGGCAGATAGACAGATAGGCAGATAGACAGATAGACAGACAGACAGATAGACAAACATGCAGACAGGCAGATAGATAGACAGACAGACAGATAGAAGGATAGGCAGACAGACAGGCAGACAGACAGGCAGACAGACAGGCAGACAGACAGATGGAGAGACAGACAGAAAGACAGGCAGACAGACAGACAGGCAGACAGACAGATAGACAGACAGGCAGACAGACAGGTAGACACAGGCAGGCAGACAGACAAGCAGACAGGCAGACAGACAGGCAGGCAGGCAGGCAGACAGATAGACAAATATATCGAATTATATAAACAGAAACAGACAAACAGATAGATATGTATACAACCTTTTTGCATCTTTCTATCCACGATTGGAGTTTTTTCATGCCCCGTTGGAAATCGGCTTGTTGCCATCGAGGCTTTGGGTTCCGGCTCAGCCTGGGAACATGCGCTGAGCTTCTTTGGATGCTCAACTGCAGCCCCCCAAAAGTACATACAACATCATACAACTGGCAGCCCTCAACATGAGGGTTGATAAGGAGAATCATCCTAACCATTGGTTTTGGCGTGCACTCACAGAATTTTAATGAATTATATATATATATAGAAGCAAATAGGAATATACACAGTCAAAACAGTGTTTCACTGTCTTGCCTAGCAAAACTGAGATGTGCCGTTTCCATTTTGGCCAATGCAACTGCGAAGGGAAGACCATCCATGTGCCAGCTATTGCAGCCAACAGCAGTGCAACTGGAAAACCGACATTCTCTTTTCAATGGGGGGCCAAGGAGAAACGAATTGAGTTCCCAACCACGTGATAGTAAAATTGTGCTTTTCAGCAGTTTTTAGCAGTTGTTATCCTTTTCAACTGAACCATTTGAGATGCCCATGTTGATTGATCAATGCTGGGAATTGTGCTACTCGGTTAAATGGTGAGTTTTGCAAAGGGATACCAAGAGAAAACCTCGTGGAGACGTGCCATGACCCCAGGACGAATCAGAGATCCTGATGAAGTGACTTGCTCTGCAGCCATCAGCGCTTTTGAAGGAGAGATCTTGATGGTTGGGCAGCCACGGAAGTCCAAAGCTGGATGAATAAAACCCTGGGTGGTTTGATTTGGGGCTGTAAAAAAATCGCCAAAATAGTGATAAAACTTTGATAAACTTTGACAGTCACTGCTAAACAGTGAAATTGGTACAACCTTTTTTAGTAACCTGCATGGTTTCGAATGCTTGGTTAGCATGGGGACGGTGATCATCCCCTCCCCTTGGATGGCCCCTCTCCCCTTCGACCAAATAAAGAGGAATCCATCACTAAATACATCACTTCATCATCATTAGACATGGATTAAATATCTTTAAACTCTGTTTTGGTCGTGTTTTTTCTAAAGAGACGGGATTGCAAAAAACGGTTGCTATGCCTAGTGTGCCTAGTGCCCAATGGAACACTGGGGTGGTCCGGTCAGAAGAGCAGGAGCAGGCCTGTGGAAAGATGCCTTGTGGCTCCTATCTTCGATGCCTCAAATGGCACTCGAAGTCAGCGGGATTTGTGCCTTGAGTCTTTGAGGATCTTTGAGGATGCAGTTTGATGTTGAATGATATCATCCCCAACCCACTGGATAGCTATTTTAATCCTTTAGTTTCTTTGCTATAAATGGACAATAACCATAACCAATCATAACCAGCAAAGGATGATGATGACAACGCTTTGTGGACTGCCAAAGGTTGACAATGTTAAGAGGGTCCCTGGTCCCAGTGTTCACTCTTGACTTTGCATGATCAGCGTCCAATCTCATCCACCATTACCGGGTGGCTGCTACTGTTGGTTCAAATCCTACTGTCACTGTGGTATCATTTTGTTTTTTAGTTTTCCACCCTACCTGGGGTGATGGTCAATGAAATGGCCTCATTGGGTATTGTGAAGTAGTTGGCTCAAAGATGCCGCCCAAATCACCGCGCCAACCTTGGTTTGATAGGTTCCTGGGTGAAGATGTTTTTGCCATGTGGATGGCAAAATTGACTATTCAGACATTTTTTGGTTGAAGGGGATCCGACCATCCAAGATTGGCCATACCCAAAAAAGGGTTACTTGCCAACTTACGTTTAGGCTTAAAGGTGTCTTCCAAATCATGCTATAATACATACGTATACGACACACACACATATATATATATACAAATTATATTATATTTTTATTATATATAGATACATATACATATATATTTACAAATATATATTATTTTTTATTATATATATGTATACATATATATATATATATATTCATGTTCACCTTTGCCATGAAATGGTGCCATTTGAGGTTACGGAGCCAGCATCAGCGCCTGTGAGAAAGGAAGTCAGTGGGCCATGGCTCTGGAACTTTTGGAGCTCGGGGAGATGGTCCTGGATGAAGCTTGGAAGCCGACGTGATTTAAGGGAATTTTGCCACGGGTTAACTGGGGTTGAGTACCAAATCTATGGATCAATAATGGTTGATTTCCTTGTATCTCTGTGCAACAATGATGGTCGAGCCGATCTTGCTTGAGGGCTCGGGGCGGTAGATTTACTAAGACCACAAAATGCAGATATTTTCACTTTAGGCACTTAATGAAGATATTAGTAGTTATATGAACTTATCATAGAAGTGATTTTTCCTTATTTTGACTAATTTTCACTTATTTTCACTTATTTTCACTTATTTTAACTTATTTTCACTTATTTTCACTTATTTTTTAAGGATCAGATTTGATTATAGACGATGTATTTTTCTTTTATACGTTTTTTGAAATTAGCCGTCGGTTTTTTTTCCTTTGGAATAAATGATATGTTTTGTCTTTCTTTCAGGAAAGGTATGCTGTCAGGAAAGGACACTTTCTGTAGTGAACAGTTTCTGGGAAATATAATTTAAGGAAAGGACAGTTTCTATATTGAAAACTTCCTGTGAAATATAATTTAAGGAAAGGACAGTTTCTGTAGTGAACAGTTTCTGTAAGGTATACTGTCAGGAAAGGACAGTTTCTGTAGTGAACCGTTTCTGATGAATATAACTTAAGGAAAGGTTAGTTTCTATAATGAAAACCCCCTATGAAATATAATTTAAGGAAAGGACAGTTTCTGTAGTGAAAACTTCCTGTGAAATATAATTTAAGGACAAAACAGTTTCTGTAGTGAACAGTTTCTGGAAAATATAATTTAAGGAAAGGGCAGTTTCTGTAGTGAATAGTTTCTGTAAGGTATACTGTTAGGAAAGGACAGTTTATGTAATGAAAACTTCCTGTGAAATATAATTTAAGGACAAAACAGTTTCTGTAGTGAACAGTTTCTGGAAAATATAATTTAAGGAAAGGACAGTTTCTGTAGTGAATAGTTTCTGTAAGGTATACTGTTAGGAAAAGGACAGTTTATGTAGTGAAAACTTCCTGTGAAATATAATTTAAGGAAAGAACAGTTTCTGTAGTGAACAGTTTCTGGAAAATATAATTTAAAGACAAAACAGTTTCTGTAGTGAACAGTTTCTGGAAAATATAATTTAAGGAATTGACAGTTTCTGTATTGAATAGTTTCTGGAAAATTCAGAAAATTCAGAAAATCCAAAAATTCAGAAAATTCAGAATCCAGAAAATTCAGAAATCTTAAAAATCTAGATTCCAGAAGATTTAGAAACCAAAAAAAGAATCTGGAAAAAATAGAAATTCCAGAATCCAGAAAATTCAGAAATCTTAAAAATCTTGATTTCAGAAAATTTAGAAACCAAAAAAATGAATCTAGAAAATTCAGAATCCAGAAAATTCAGAAATCTTAAAAATCTAGATTCCAGAAATTTAGAAACCAAAAAAAAGGAATCTAGAAAATTCAGAATCCAGAAAATTCAGAAAACTCAGAAAATTTCAAAAATTTAGAAATTCAGAATTTTCAGAAATTTCAGAAATTCAGAAAATTCAGAAAATTCAGAAATTCAGAAAATTCAGAAAATTCAGAATTTATATATAAATATAAATATATATATATAATTCAGAAAATTCAGAAAATTCAGAATTCAGAAAATTCAATAAATTCAGAAAATCCAGAAAATTCAAAATCCACAAACAAAAATAGAATCTGGAAAACATAGAAAATCCAGAATCCAGAAAATTCAGAAATTTATCTAAAAAAAACAGAAAATTTAGAAACTAAAAAACTGGAATCTAGAAAATTTAGAAAATTCAGAAGCCAGAAAAATTTGAAACCTTAAAAATCTAGATTCCAGAAAATTTAGAAACCAAAAAAAAAGAATCTGGAAAAAATAGAAAATTCAGAATCCAGAAAATTCAGAAATCTTAAAAATCTAGATTCCAGAAAATTTAGAAACCAAAAAAAAATGGAATCTGGAAAAAATAGAAAATCCAGAATCCAGAAAATTCAGAAATTAAAAAAAAAAATAGAATCCAGAAAAAAATATAAAAACAAAAAACAATAGAATCCAGAAAATTCAGGAAATCAAAGAAAAATAGGCTCCAGACAATTTAGAAAATCCTAAAGAAAATAGAATCCATATTTTTGTAGAAAACCTAAAAAAATAGAATTCAAAAAATCTAGCCAAAACAAGTTAGAATCCAGAAAAATTAGAAAACCAAAAAAGAAAGAGAATCTAAATTTTTGATTTTTCTTCTTTTGGTTCATCATATTCATGCCAATGTGTCAAAGTTGCCAGAAGCAGATGAAGATGACTTTCAACAGTTTGATTCATTCTTGCATTTTTTTCTGCAGCTGCAACTCTAAGCTTCTTTGCTTCTTCTGTGCAAGAAAGGTTGTTGAGAGAATTTTTTAGCCTGACATCGTTTCATATCCAGGAAGCATGCACTCCAGAACTTTATCTATTCTTTTAAAACTTCATGACATTTCCAAAAACGATCCTTCACAGGAAATGTTCTTAACACAAAACATTTTTTTCTTGGGAGGAACTATACCACCAAAAAAAAAAATATGGCAGTATTTTTCAGAGAATAGTTCCCTATAAGAAAATATTTTTCCAGGCAGTAACCGGCAGAGAACTGTTCCCTACCAGAAAAATAAAAAAAAACAGGCAGTACCCTTGAGAGAACTGTTCCCTAAAGAAATAAATCTTTCCAGGCAGTATCCTGCAGAGAACTGTTCCCTACAAAAGAAACTCTTTCCAGGCAGTATCCGATCACATCTACATTCCTGTAAATCATCCATGAAAAATGCCGAAAAAAAGAAAACATCCTTATTTTCTCTTATTTCACTTATTTTCACTTATGTTCACTTATGTTCACTTATTTTCGCTTCGTTTAACTTACTTGCAAATAATAACCGCCTATATTTGCTTATATCTTCATTATTATGTTATAAGTTCACCTAAAAATTTAGAGGAACTTAAAAGAACATATTTTCAGATCTCATATTTAAACAAGATATTAGGAGGATAATAGTAACTTATAGTATACTTATAAGTTCATTAAGTGCCTGAAGTGCAAATATCTGCTTTTTGTGGTCTTAGTACGGAAAATTGTATGTGCTTGCCTTAAATCATACTGAAGCATGGCTTGCTCTCTGTTTTTATGTTTTTGTTTGCTACGAGGTGGGGTTTTAAGCAAAATATCAGTAAACCAGTGTGTGGCCATATGGCCATAAATTGGAAGTAGGTTGACCTGCTACAAAGTTACAAAATACAGTATTTTTAAATGGGGATCAGGGATCCAAGATTTGCCCGAGCAGGTGGGTGATGTTTGATTTTTGAAAAACAATCATGATGATATAAGAGTCCTGATGGCAAGCCTGGATTGCAGCCTCCAAGGAGACTTCTGTGAACGCCGCCATCAGCGCATGTGAAGTTTGCGGTCAACGAAAGCGGGCCTTGTTTCTGCTTCACACTTCGGAATTGCTGCCCGCCTGTCACAAAAACTGTTGTTTTTTGTTTTTAATAGGAGCTCGAAATAATTATCGGATTCCAATAGTTCCGAACGGCCACATGCTGAAGATTGTACTTGGGAATCTTCACGTGCGCAGCCAAGTACGCAAGTCTAAACTGGGAAAGTGCAATTCAAAGAAAGCTCATGAAAGGCCAAGCTCCTTTGAGACTGTCAGAGATTGATGTCTGAACTTCTACAAGCTTCCATGAGTGATGTTTAGCCAAGACGGATCTTTTTTTAGTTGATGTGTAGGAGGGTACCATTTTATTTCAATTTTTGACTACTTTGGGGTGCTATTTGTCAGCCCAGGATAGCCCAGCCCTTGGCTGGTTTTTGTCAAACCCCTCAGTGAAAGATGGCGGAAATGTGTTCATGAAGGTACAGAAGTATTATACCATACGAAATCGTCAAATCCTTATTTTCAGTGGGGAAATTAATATGTTGAATAGTTTCTTCGGAGGATTTCCCTATGTTTTGAATTTCCAACCGCCTCTGTTCATAGTCAAATCCCCATGTGCCATGCTGAAATCCTCATTTGTCATAGTCATAAAATACCCTTTTCATGGCTAAAACAGTATTTTTCATGTTGAAACCCGCATTTTTCATGCTAAAATCTCCATGTTTCATGTTGAAATCGACCCAGATTCCGCTCCGTCGCGGCGGTTTTCCCTAGGACGCTCTGCCGCCGTTCGGGCACGGCGTTCCTGTGGGCGCTGGCGCGGCTGCAGGTGGACGATGCGGAGGTGGTCCATGCGGCCCTTGTGGAGGCCCATGCCCCCTTGGGGACCCTTGGGATAGCTTGGGATTGGGAGAAGGGAGCCATTAAGAATTATGGGATGAAGCATGAAACATTGTTGTTTCTATTTTTCTAATGGGTTTTTTATTGCAGTTTTAGTGAAATTTAATAGCTGTGAAATATAATGATAGCAACAGGATTTATATTTATATATAGTGGGAATTTAATCTAATGGTCAAGAGGAAGAGGTTTGGAGCTAGGGTATCCATATTCCCTATGAAATGGGGAGCGATTCAGAGCTGCAAATTGAAGTTCCCAGCCACATAATAGAATTAATGATAATTAAGGAGCTATAGTATAGGGTATGCTATGCAATTATCAAATATACTGTAAGAGTTTTTGCGTTGTGTTCATCAAGCCTATGGGGCTCTGATGAATTAGTATGCTTATATATATAACCGTTACCCTTTGATGATGAGCTTGCAAATTGTTATGTAATAAAACGTTATTGAAGAAAAATGACACGTATACTATCCAACCATCAAATACATAGAGGTTTCATCATACATATTTGGGTTTGACCTAAAACATACGGCTTCATGGTGGTTTAATCATCATTTAAACTGGGTGTTTGTCCATCAAAATTATGGGGATACACTTGCTAAATGCATATAAATGATGGTTGCTTGGTTACATATGGGGTGTTACTATGGTTGTTAATGATCCCATCATCTTTGTTTAACGATACCAATATAGGTCAATACAAAAAATGTACCAATACTTCACTGGGGGAATTTAGTCATTTAGAATTTATATAACCCCATTGTTGTCTGACTATGTCTGACTATTTTTGGTGGTTTTGCCAAGTGGACAATGATGCTTATGTCTGATGTGTGAATAGTGTTTAGCCAGACGCGTGAACAATAATCTGGTTTGAGATTGCATTCGAGCGGTTTGGGCCAAATTTGTAGCAATCATTGGGATTACAAGTCTGGCTGATTTATGATTTGTGAAGATGACGGCCTATCATGGTCGGCATATCCTCCAGCAAATTACCAGTAGTACCGCACAAGGCCGTGGCGGAAGTTTCAAAATAGGAAACCTATAGGAGAGCTTGGTTGTTGTGAATTACGGATGGCAAAGCGAATCCACTGATGGTCGAAAGGTGGTTGGAGTTGTGTTTTTTTGGAGTGGTTACAATGGTTGCAGAGGTCACCTGGTCGGTCACGTCACCCACAACTGCTGGATGTAGTGTGGTGTAGCGCTGCAGCTGTAGTTCTAGTTGTAGTGTAGTGGAGTTGTCGTTGTGGTGTAGTGTAATTAGTGTAGTGTAGTTGCAGTTGCATTTGTGGTGGAGTAATGAGTGTAGTGTAATGTAGCGTAGGGTAGTGTAGCCTAGTGTAGTGTAGTGTAAAGTAGCGTAGTTGTAGTTGTAGCTGTAGGTGTAGTTAGTGCAAAGTAGTGTAGTGTCCTGTCGTGTCGTGTGGTGTAGTTTATTTAGTCTAGCGCTATGTAGTGTAGTCGTAGTTGCATTTGCATTTGTAGTTGTAGTGTAGTTGTAGTTGTAGTTGTGGCTGTAGTAGTTGTTTTATTTGTGGTGTAGTGGAGTGGAGTGTAATGTAGTGTAATGTAATTAGTGTAGTGTAGTGTAATGTAGTTGCGGTTGTAGTTGTAGTTAGTCTAATGTAGTGTAATATAGCGTAGTGTAATGTAACTAGTGTATATAGTGTGGTGTAGCGTAATGTGGTTGTAATTGTAGTTGTAGTGTTGTGTTGTGCAATTGAGTGTAGTGTAGTGTAGTGAAGCGGAGTGTAATGCAGTTGCAGTTGTAGCTGTTCTTGTAGTTGTAGTTGTACTTGTATTTGTAATGTAATGTAGTGTAATGTAGTGTAGCGTAGTGGAGTCTAGTGTAGTGTAGTGGTTGTAGTTGAAACTGCTACAAAACCCTTACATTTTGCTCACTTTTGACAAGGTGCACAGTCCCCTGCGGCTGCCACGCAAAACGACATCTGAACGTCCAAAAGTGGTCCGGACATTAGTGCTTTTCACATTTTGACTTGGACACGTGCTTCGCACCACAACAGCGTGCACTTTTTCGACATCTCAACTTCCAAAAGTGGTCCGAGAATGGTGTGTTTTGTACATTTTGACTTCGACATGTGCTTCGTGCCACAACGGCGTGCACTTTTTCGACATCTCAACTTCCAAAAGTGGTCCGAGAATGGTGTGCTTTGTACATTTTGACTTGGAAATGTGCTTCGCGCCACAACGGCGTGCAATTTTTCCACATCTCATCTGGCCAGATGTCTCCGCACCCGCCGCTTTTAGCGAGCCTACTTTTCGACCCTCCGGACGCGCAGATCATTGGAAAAACGCAGTGTTTCGCGACTTTGCTACCTTTTCGCGCACCTGCATCTTCTGTCTTCTGACTCTTTCTCTTCCCTGATCTTCTTTCTTCTTCTCTTCTCTCCTCTGACTCTTCCCACCTCTGCTTTTCCATCTGTCCATATTGTCGGAAGTTTGACTTCTAAACTTCCTTCGAACATACAGTGTAGACATGGAAAATACATAAACGAAAATAGTGTGTTTCCAAAAACAAATCATCTACAACTGCCATTTTTGTTTCTTTATATACAGTTTGATTTAGCGTTTAACCTTTAATAATTGATTCTCAAATGATGCGCAACGCAGGTTTTTATGTTTGCATGATTTTGCTACCCTAGTTTCCCTTGGTTCCAGCCCTGGCTTGCCAATTTCCAGGCCGTTGCTGAGCTCAAGGGCTCCTTGGATGGCGAGGCACTGACGAGACTTGGAGCGAAGACCTTGAGGGGTAGCTAAGGTTGGCAGATTTCCCTGAAGCACACCCTTCGTCTTCGATAAACAGAAGGTTATCTAACCTCCTCCCCAGAAAAATCAGGTGCTTATCCACGCCTGCCCTTGTTTCGATCATTATTTGTAGGACATCTCACTGGGTTTCAGGGAAGGTCTAGCAAAATGCGACATGTTTATTCTTCTATAGATCAACCACTGCAAAACCGCCCTCCCCCCTACCCTCCAATCTACATGCTTTATTGATTTCAACAGGTTTAGTGTTGCCTTTCTACAGTTTCACATCCCAGGAGAGGCATCTCCAGATTCTGGTGGTCCTTATCTATGCTGGGGGCCCGACCCTTGCAGCCCAGCGCCATCAAAGCGGTCGCCACGGTGCCGCAATCGTACTGGCAACTTTTCACGCCACAGGAGTTGCTGATGAGTACCTGGGGTGCCATCGATGCTCCCGAGGCGCCGGGGCGTTTTTTGTTGAGCTGCTGGTGGTGAATGAGTAGCGAATGAGTAGTGAGTGAGTAGTGGGTTGACCAGCCAAAAAGTTGGAGATGATTTCATGATCAAGAATTCGGAATGATAAGCCCAAGCCAATACATGATCCATAATAATAATAATGTGATAAACCCAAGTATATCTCACCTCCAAAAAAGAACATACATGGGTGTTGCATAAAGCATCCCCAATCATGGTAGGTTCATGGCAGCCAGGGTTTCCCAAAGCCTGCCGTTGGTGAACGCAGGTTCTTTGGCCGATCCAGGAAGAATGGACGCGGCGTTTGGCTGGGAAGGACTTGGCCTTGACAACCTGGTGCCTTGGAACGTAGACAGGGGGCATTGGGGATTTCAGCATCAAAAGTTGTGATTTAACATGATTTAACCATTAAACATGATGAATTAACCATGACTTGTTTTTTGTTACCATGAGCAGTTGTGATCGAATATGATTTAACTGTGAAAGATGATGGTTTCATCATGCTAATTCTGATTCAATAACAGCAATTGGGTTTGACCATTGATTATGTATATATATATATATATATATATTGGACTTAAACTGGTGAATAGTAAGTAAGTCAGTGGGCTAGTTGTTGGCCATGTTTATGGGAAATGGGCTGACCACTGATCTTTTTTGTTGGTGTTTATTTTCTGTCGAATTAGCAATGGAAATTCCATGGCATTTTGAATTTGAGCAACAACATCGTGGATGTAGCCGACACAAATTCAAGGATTGCATCGCCGCCATTGGTGGTTACAAGCGATGAAGATGCAATGACATAGGGAGAAGATCATATAGACAAAAGACAATGTTTGGAGGAGACGGCCAAAGTGTCTTTGGCGTGTTCGAAGACGTGTAGCATGGCACAATCCGCAATCAGTGTAATTATATAGTATAAGGCCGCCAATGGTAAAAATAGATGTAAACATAAACACTGTAGCAAGTGGGTAACCATACAGTTTGTCACAGTCCTGTTCTGGAATCGATGCATCACTTCGCAGAAAGATGGGACGCTGTAGGGCATGCCAAAGCGTAATTATTGTTTGATGTTCGTCTCGTTTAGGCATTGTTTCCGATGTTATATTTGATATTTGATATTTTTGTTGATATTTGACATTTGATATTTGATGATATTTGATGATATTTGATGATATTGTTCCGATGCATCCTATTTGTGTCCAACTGTTTCTGGCACTCTAGTGATGTCAAGTTCGGTTTGCCTTGTTCATCCTGGAATATGTTTTCACAGCCGCCACCAGGGTCTTTCCACGAGCCTAAGCTGCGCGGCCTAGGCTGAGCCAAAAAGATTACATTCTGGGCAGCCTTTGGGCCTGCAGTTTTGCAGGGCAAGTTCGCTCTGACTTTCTGGCAGCTGCAGCTGGGTAGAACTGACCCGATAAGTTTGCAATAATTCCGTCGCACGAGAGCTCTAGTATTGAATATCGCCATAATATCAACAGATGGGGGTTGGGGAGAGGGATGTAATTGCGCACGTTCCAACTGTACATATCATATCATATCATCATAAAGATCGTTGATCTATCAGAACTTCAACTCCCTCACTTCCAACATCGTCCCAAGAAGGTGATCTGGCCTCTTGTGACCACTTGGAAGGATCCAAGTATAATGAGTGATGGATAGTGATGGTATATTTGGCATATCATATCACCAACAAATGGTGATTTAACTATAGTTTATTCGCCAAATGGATGCATTGTAGTGGGTATGTATATCAACGAATATGTCTGCTTTATGCTTTGAGAAGTTGTTGCTGTTTCCAGCCAGAATATGGCACGATGATCCAATTTGGATCACCTACTCAGGACTATCTTGTGGTCATAGCATTTTGTGAAAAACAGCTGCCCTATATATCCTTTGGATGTACTAGGGCCTTCAAGTTGGTGTACCAGCAAGGTTTGATTGCGGAAATCACAATGGCCATGGCATCACGGCCGAGGTCAAGGGCTCCATGCGCAGTGCTGGACGGCTGTTGGATGAGGACAACCCTGCTCCAGCGCACTTCGCTGCAGATGCTCGGCCGGGTGCTTCGTGAGGTCACGACTAGGCAATTTGTGAAGTTCATACTTGAGAAGGTGTAATGGTGTGCTGTGGTGATATGACGTTACATGTAGTGAGATGATGTTGCATGTGTGACATGATATGACATGGAAAGCCCATCCCCCACGGCTTGCACCAAGGCAACTAGCCCGCGGGAACCCAAGGGGCCGCTGGAAACCATGGAGACCCCACAGTTGCTGCGGTGCCTTGCAAGAATGGCCTTAAAATTCACTATTGTAAGGTTGGCCCACTTGTTTTTAGTACAAGTATGCGTGATTTATGGTGGCTTGATATGGTTTGAATATGTTCAAATCCATTTGAATCCATGAAAAACGACCTTCAAAGGGTATGACCAACACAAGCGGCAGTTGAACCAGCAGAAATGCTGGAGTTGGACAGCAGGAATGTAAATATCACGTCGAGTCATGTCACCAGAGAGTCACTGGTTCAAATGAAGATTGGGCAGCCTGGTGGTAAGCCCGCGTTAGATTGGGGATTTCTCTCTGTCGACGATCCGTGGCTTGTGGCTCCAACTGTGGCCAAGTCGGGCCAGGTTTGAGGAGGAGCAGCTACTCATCTTCAAGCCAACTGGCTGGGAAGTGGAAGATCCGATCCTTGCCTTTGAACCGCGCCCTCTGGTCATAGCAAGTTGGGAGTTAACTTTAACGGCACCCACTGGTTCTGAGTTTTTCTTCATAATTTTGTGTTTGGCACCCCAGGTCGTTGAATTCTGCTCCTGAACTCAAATCCAAATTGCATTCCTTTAGGTTCCTTTAACGTGATTTGGGCCACCAGCAATCACCAGAATCCTGAGGGATGGAGAGCAAAGCCTGGGCCGATTCTTGCTGCAGCACGTGGGGCGCAGGCCCATCTTTCGCGACCCCAGAGCCACCTTCGGATTTTTGCATCGCCTGGACGTTCCCAGCTCAGGCTACCGTGAATGCGAGAGGAGGGAAAGCTTAAAACATGTGGGATGGATGGATCTAACGACTTACATGCACATAGCACACACACACATATATATATATATATTATCTATATATCCATCTGTCTGTCTATCTAATCTAGTCTAATCTTAATCTGACCTAATCTAATCTAATCTAATCTAACCTAATCTAATCTAATCTAATCTAATCCATTCCATCTATGTACCCATCCATTTATCTATTTTATCATTTTTTGTGGTGTTTCTTATCCTATCTTATCTAATCTTGTTTTGTTTGCCTAAATCTACATGCAGGTACACACATGGTTTTTGCACACATGCCTCCAGGATTTCCCCGTGCAGTCTCCTACCAATATTGTCACTGCATTTCATACACCTTTGCCTGCAAAATTCTCCGCAGCCAGTTTTACCAGGCCTCATTTTGGCAGCTTCCAGCTATGCCGCCTACTTTGACCTGAGGCTCCAGTTGGCTCAAGGCTGGGACCATGGGAAAACTTCAAGGAAACCATTATTATTCCTCGTAAAAGCCGCGTTTTCCTGCAGATTCTCCCTTAAACCAACCCCATGGACAATCTTTCCCTTCTCTCAGATACTCTCTAATCGAAAGCCTGGTTTAGTAGTGGATGCATTCATGTGTAAAAATTCGTTTGCTGGGTAACCCTTTGTAATTTCACACGTGATGTACACTCATTAGCTATAAAAAAGATACTCGGTATCTCAGGATGACCATGTTCAGGGTGAATTTCACACGAGCAGGATGGCAACACCAGCTTCCACGTTTTGTTATTCTGGGTCAAAACATGGTTGCATTTTGAGTCCTACATAGAAACAAGTATCCCCCAAAAAGGTAGAACGGCACAGTAGGTTTTCTTTTTCCAGCTTTTTGGAGGGATATATGCATCATATTATTTCATATCATATCATCTTAGATTTTGCATCTCATTTCATTGTTTTTCATATCATATGATAGCACTAATCCCTTCCCACTATCAAACACCCAAAAACAATGGTGAATGGGGATGAAATCACCTATTTGGGAATGTGAGTGTATAACATGTGGGATGTGATGGACTTTTCGTGGTTCCCTATGTTTAGTAGTCTAGTGGTAACCTCAGCACTATTACCCTCTGGTAATTTAACATAGCTATTGAAAATGGCCAATGGAAATAGTTGATCTACCTATTAAGGATGGTGATTTTCCAGCTCGCTATGTTAGTTTACCAGAGGGTATATCCCATTAAATTACCTTGCTTCCAAGGTCTCATCCTCCGCGATTACCTGGTGCTCTGCCACGGCTTCCAATCCGCTCGCAACGCTCGCGTCATCGCCGCGGCTGTGTCCTGGAACCCGGGGACCATGGCGCCAAGCCGTGCGGGACGGGGCAAGCCCAGTGGCAGCAGGCTGCAGTGCCTGGGGATGGGATGCTTGGTGCGAAATCAACGGGGAATGTTTCTTGGGAAAATCATCTATAAATTTCCGGTGATGATTGATGTTTATTGGGTGTAATTTCTTCCCATTTGGGATATAACTAGCAACGGAATGTGATTTTTGGGTTTAACACACTGTGACTATTATGAATGGGGATTTCATGGCAAAATACTGGGATGGAACTAACAATAGGATGTCCACTGCCCTTTGGGAATCTAACATAGCCATAGGAAACCTGCATTTTAAATAGGACAACTATTTGCAATCGGGAAAAAATCATCGATTGTCCCTAGTTTTGTTAAATTACCGATGGGTATAAAGCATCAATGAGGCTTTAAGGGCATGAAAACGAATGAGTGGGATCAGGGGATATGCGTTAGGAAAAATATGATACATGATAATAAATGGGGTTTCGTGGTTGAGTTTATTTCCACCATTTAGGATAATGTAACATGACCCATCATGACCCCCAAATGGTTGGTCAATGGGATTTGAGTTACAGCATTTGGTTTAACACACTATACTATACAATACTATAATTACTATACATAGGTTTTTTTTCAATATATACTGGGCTAGAACGGGATAGAACTAACAACATGACTAAGAATCACAGTATGATAATGGAACATTCTGGGGGATACAACGCACGGGGGGAAAAGGGGAGTGGATAAAACATAAAACATCCACTGTGTATTAACTATAACTAACCATCAATAAAGAATTATTATACCCCAACATTGCTATGTGATTTGATAAACCATCAAGTTTAGAGCTGGGAAAATGGATGGTATAGTTTAGCACAAACTAAATCCAATTAATCTGTTGCTAAGAAAGGGCAATTGGAAATGTCAACCTCGGATGAGTAAACCCTGGCTGATTAATTAAGGGGTAAGCTCCCTAAAATGTGATGATGTGCTACTTACAGTAAGTCCAGAGTTGTCATGATAGTGTAGATGTAATATAGGAACCACGATTCATCTATGGGAAATATGTCCAAAAACATTGGTATAACAGCTTAACCATTAATCATGTGGATATTGTTTTTTGTTCCATTTATAACCATGAATAGGGATGGGAAGGTTGGAACTAGGAGAAACTTGGAGCTGGAGCAAGCGGATGAAGAGTTTTGGCACTGACATGACGCACGATTTGTTCGGTGAAAACCATATCTTGGGGCTAGAGCTCATCTTAAAAAATGTTAAAGCATTTTAAAACAAAACCGTCGCAGCTCCCATACTCTCCTATCTCCTGCTATACAATACTAAATTGAATAACTGGGGGTAACCCAAATATCACTAGTTATTTCATCTGGCTATTACCTACTAGAACTGACCCAAGCACCTCAGGCTGTCATCGCTAATCTTAAATACCCTGCAAACAGTGCCGTTTCCAGCCGCTTAGTAATTAAATGTACTTGATATATGTTCCCTTTGCTTGGTGATTTTAACTACGACATGCTACGACGATGTGTGGGGGTCTGGGGTAGTTGAATCTTCTGGCTGGTGGTGTTCTCATCTCACATGGCCAACTGCCTGACTGATTGTGTCATAGCTCTTGTTGTGTGCCAGTGAGCATCTACATGGCATGTTTGTGTACCTTCCGTAAACACAACGCATGTACACATGTTCCACGCAAGGTATCCATGCAAGTATGGTGTCGTTTCCACTTCAGGGTAACAACTGACCAAATTTGTTTCGTGCAAATCACCGTTGTTTTTGCTCACGCCGCCTCTAACGACCCCAGGCGGTTTGCGTGTTTTGATGTGCCATGTGCGTGTTGTGTTTTCTTTTGGGGGGGTGGGGGGGGTGGGTGGGGTGGGGTGGGATGTTAACGTTCCTTGCACTTCGTACATTACATGTTGCTACGCTGTAGAGATCTCTGGGATCGTTGCTACGTCACATGTTGTTACGTTGCTGATGGTGTGGGGGGGTGGGTGGGGTGGGGTGGGATGTTTACGTTCCTTGCACTTCGTACATTTCATGTTGCTACGCTGTAGAGATCTCTGGGATCGTTGCTACGTCACATGTTGTTACGTTGCTGATGGTGTGGGGTGGGGTGGGGTGGGGTGGGGTGGGATGTTTACGTTCCTTGCACTTCGTACATTTCATGTTGCTACGCTGTAGAGATCTCTGGGATCGTTGCTACGTCACATGTTGTTACGTTGCTGATGGTGTGGGGTGGTGTGGGGTGGGGTGGGGTGGGATGTTTACGTTCCTTGCACTTCGTACATTTCATGTTGCTACGCTGTAGAGATCTCTGGGATCGTTGCTACGTCACATGTTGTTACGTTGCTGATGGTGTGGGGTGGTGTGGGGTGGGGTGGGATGTTTACGTTCCTTGCACTTCGTACATTTCATGTTGCTACGCTGTAGAGATCTCTGGGATCGTTGCTACGTCACATGTTGTTACGTTGCTGATGGTGTGGTGTGGGGTGGGGTGGGATGTTTACGTTCCTTGCACTTCGTACATTTCATGTTGCTACGCTGTAGAGATCTCTGGGATCGTTGCTACGTCACATGTTGTTACGTTGCTGATGGTGTGGGGATTGAAAGACTTGCAAGATTGAAAGAACTTGGCACGTTGGCAAAGACTTGCAAGTGAAAAATATAAAAACTTCGTTTTTTTTTGTATGGGGACAAAAATTGAATGCTTCGACCACTGTAAATTCATGAAAACGACTACAAAGTCATGCAAATACCAATGGAAATGCAAGTCATGTCAAAATGCGAATGTCACAAAACCCTGGAAGGGTTGCAAAACTGAAGACTGAGCTGCTGGAAAAAAGGTGAAATTGCGCGGGGTCATTGCGGGCGGCGTGTCCTTGTTTTTCCTCCACGGATCTTTGTTGTGCATTGTTATGCAGCATCTACTTGTTGGTCTATGTTTTTTGATTGATAATTTTGTTGCCTGGGAACAAGTTAAGTTTGTTTGAAAGTAGGCCATCCCTAAATCTACTGAGTTGTGGTTATTTTCTCTGTTAAAGGTGGCCATACATTCGGGCTCACTCCCCTGCTCTTGCAGAAACCCAGGTATCAGGTATCACATCAAATTGGGAAAATGTATCCCAAATCTGTCTTGGTTTAAATGGGATTACTACTTACCAACCGTGATGCTCGATACCATGGGAATCCACTGAGGATATATTGGCGCTGCGGCAGTCAGCCTTTTGGCGGTGCGGATCTTGACCGGTCGCCGTCATCAGATCAGAGTTCACCTCGCACATGTTGGATGCCCAACGGTCAACGATGCGCTGTGTCCCGGATGGTGATTTGGGGATGGGTCAAAGCTTGTTGTACCATCCTTTTTTGGGATGAACAACCATAGATCTTAGTTGAGCGTTCACAAGGGCACCACGGTTTTGACATGTTTTGACCCACGATTAGCCATTTCAAGCCGTTTGATAATTTGCATGACAGTGGAAAATCCCAGTTGTTTAATGGGAACATGTGGGATAATCATCGGTCATTAAATGGGTGGTGCTCCATTGCCAGGTTCAATTGCTGGATTTCAAACAGAGAACCCCACCAAGTTGGGTGGTTTAGAACCACAATCAAAATTGCGAGTTGGGGGCATGCCTCATGCTCAAAGACGCCCACAGTTGTTCTATGCATTTTGATTTCTCTATAGTTGGGTGCATGCTGAAGGATTGAGATGATCCGTTAGTAGTGTTCTTTGGCTGATTAGGTTGAAAACATCGCTGGTAGCGATCCACCCTGGGGTGGGGTCTAAGCCCAGCGAGCCCATCGTTTGATATGGTTAAACTATATGTTAAACTCCCATAAGACCATGTTTGCCAATCTTCCAGGTCCCCCAGTGCGGAATTTCGAGTTTCTCAGGTACACCTCTGCCTCAGTGCACGCCATGGACCAACAGTTCTGCAGGAGGAATATGCTGCATCGATCCTGGGCGCCCGACAACGGGAAAATTCGAGAAAAAACATCCATATTTTGGTCGCAGAAACATGTAATGTGGGTAAAACAACGCCGTAAACCACCCATTTGGGAATGGTTTATAGTACCTATTTATGTGATTTGGGGGATGGCTTATTATTGTTTGGAGGGCTATTTTTTTTGGGAATTTTTTCCCGTTTTTTTTTGGGAATTTTTTCCCGTTTTCTGGTGGAAGGAAGGTGCGAAGAAGGAAGGAAGGAAGGAAGGAAGGAAGGAAGGAAGGAAGGCAGGAAGGCAGGCAGGCAGGCAGGAAGGAAGGAAGGAAGGACATAAGGAGGGAAGGAGGGAAGGAGGAAAGGAGGGAAGGACGAAAGGAAGGAAGGAAGAAAGGAGGGAAGGAGGAAAGGAGGGAAGGAGGAAAGGAGGGAAGGAAGGAAGGAGGGAAGGAGGGAAAGAAGGAAGGAAGGAAGGAGGGAAGGAGGAAAGGAGGGAAGGAGGAAAGGAGGGAAGGAGGAAAGGAGGGAAGGAGGAAAGGAGGGAAGGAGGAAAGGAGGGAAGGAAGGAAGGAGGAAAGGAGGGAAGGAGGGAAGGAGGGAAGGGGGCAACGAAGGGAAGGAAGGAAGGAAGGAAGGAAGGAAGGACCATGTGTGCAGTCAACACTTGCAGCTTGCAGCCACCACGGGCAGCGTGCAAAGTGCTGCTGAGCTGCTAGAGCTGAGGGGTTTCCAAAACTATTTTCTGGCCTTGTTCGGGCCTCGTTTTGGCATCGTTTTTGGCCTCGTTCGGAACCCGTTGCAGAAATACTGAGTTGAGATGCAAGTCAGGGCCACATAGATTTGTGACCAAAACATACCAAAACATACATGAACCATGCGCTCACATTTTGTTTTAAACCAAAAGATGACTTTTCTTAGATGTACTTGTTTTAACCGGCTCCCCTTGCTACCTACTCTGATTCCTTTTTCATAAGCATCATCGGTTATTTGCGTTCATTTCATCTTCATTGATCTCCATCGCGACTTGTGCCTATGTACTTCTTTCATGTTCTTTCTTGGTACGCATTGCAGGGGACCCCCCCACCCGCTTTTTTTTTTTCATCGGCTTCCCTTGCTACCTACTCTCTTGCCTTTTGCTCATAAGCATCGTTTCTTAGGGTTCATTTTCTCTTTCTTCTTCTTTCAAAAT